AGGGACTTGTCCAACAAGAGGACAGAAGTTGTCTTGAGCAGAAAGACAGCAATTTTTCTGAGCTGCGCCATCGCTTGAGAACGCCTGCCTTCATGGTTTCCGCACATGAAAGCTAACCGTGTATAGTTATCCTGCCAGCTCCCTGCATATAGCTGGCCAACCATCACATTGCAGCACCGGGCGCGGCAGTATCGCTGGGCTGGGAACCACCTCGTACGGCGGATGGAGGGGGGTGGTGAGCGAGTGGTGCCTCGGGTGGGGGAGCGGGAGCGTCTCATCCGAGACGTGCACGAGCGCGCAGGGCACTTCGGGGTGAAGAAGACCCTTTCCCTGCTGGCTCCCCACTACTGGTGGTTGGGATTGGCTACGGACGTCGCGCAGGTGGTGCGCGGCTGTGAGGCGTGTGATCGGGTAAAGGCGGCCTTCAACGTCAAGCACCCGACGCTGCAGCCACTGCCGATCAAAGGGCTGTTTTACAGGTGGGGCCTGGATTTTGCTGGGCCTTTGCCCAAGTCCAGCAGAGGCCAGCAGTATGTGCTGGTCATGGTCGAGCATTTCAGCAAGACCATAATCCTGGCGCCCACCCAAGACAAGGAGCCGGGCACGGTGGCGGGGGTGTTTACCCGCGAGGTCTTGACCCGGTTTGGAGCGTGCGCGGAGGTGGTCACGGACAGGGGTGGGGAGTTCGGGGGCGAATTCCAAGCATGCCTGGATGCGGCCCTGATCGACCACAGGGCGACGTCGGCCTACCATCCGCAGGCCAATGGGTTGAACGAGCGGGTCGTGGGGTTGGTGAAGCGGGCTTTGCGCAAGTGGTGTCTGGGGCATGCAGCAGAGGAGTGGGACGTCTACCTGCCGTGGGTGGCCATGGGCTACAACTTCAGCGCGCAGGCGTCCCTGGCTGGCTTCTCCCCTTACCAGATCCTGTTTGGCAGGGACCCGGTGGTCCCTGGGGCAATCAAGGTGGCGCTGGAGGAGCCGTTGGACTTGGACCACCCAGAACGGCTGAAGGCGCTGGTGGCGCAGCGGGCGGCGCTGTTCCGAAGGTGGATGCCCATGGCGATGGGAAACCTTCAGATTGCACAGCACCGCGACACGCTGCGGTACGCGAAGACGCGCAGCGGGGCTTGGAAGCCGCAGCTGATCCAGTACGGGGTGGGTGATTACGTTTACCTCCAGCGTGAGATGCTGGACACGCTGGACATCCGGGCGGGAGAGCGCATCCTGCGCATGCGGTCGGTGGAGGCAAACGGCGTGCTGGAGCTGGAGGGGTCGGATGCGAGGACAGTGCGGGTGCACGTGGAGAGGTGTGCCCCGTGCCACCGCCCCGACGTGGACGGGAGGTTGGACCCGCGGGCGGCAGTGCCGTCCCCAGACTTTGCGTGCACACGGTGTAAGAAGGCGACCGGGGCTGCGCGGATGCTCTTGTGTGACGGATGCGGGGCGGGGTGGCACTTGGAGTGCCTTGATCAGCCCCTGTCGGCAGTCCCGGAGGGGGACTGGTATTGCGGCCGGTGCAGGACAGCTCAGGACTTGCTGGCGCGGGAGTCTGCGGCGCCGTGGGTGGGCCCTGCTGAGCGGGCGCGCGCACAGGGCCCAGGAGGGGATAGTGCGGCAGCATGCTATTGGCTGTATTTATGGTGTCGAGATGCCTAGGCAAGAGACGTATTGAGGCGACAGCTGTCATGCCAGATTGTGTCGCAAGCGATTCGTATCCGATCTAGTTATTGACCCATGAATTAATTTGGTAGACATATGCCAGTAGTGCAGGCAGTGAGCCAGGCCTAGGCTAGGAGTGCAGGCAAGAGTGACATGTGAAAGAATGAAGCTGAAGCTTCATTCTTTCTTCTGTTCAATCCAAGGCTGTAAGTAAGGGCGATACTGCGGGATGCTCTTGACAGCTCATCGGTGGCCTGAAGGAAAGTTTCATGTAAGCATGGTGTATGCGGAGTGTTATTGTGTACCCCAGTCACACCCATGATCCTTCTGTGATGCGTGGAATGCGGCGCAAGTCATTCACATAGTGCGGCAGCATGCTATTGGCTGTATTTATGGTGTCGAGATGCCTAGGCAAGAGACGTATTGAGGCGACACTAGTAGCAGCGCTCTGAGTCTTCATGATTGCGTATATATCATGTTAATGATCCGATCGAGCTACTTTAGAAGGTCACAGCCGTTCTACTAATTCACAATATTTAGAATGAGGAATTCACATGGGACTTGAAACTTACAGACTGCACCGATCGTGCAATGGTCCGATCCGATCGCGCGCTATCCGATAAGTTGACCCGCAGGGCACTGCTTAGCTATTGGTCGATCGCGTTCATACATACGCGCGCATGCTCAGGTCAATGGCACATGGCACAATTAATTGCATTGAACCCATCATTTTCATGCATGAGCCATGGAACGCCCGTATGATGCCACGCGTGGTCATGGCACGACAGTGACCATCATTACCAAATATTGGCAGGCTAAGCTCATTCAAACAATCATGACCGGCTCTGGCAACATCTATCAGGCTTGGCTCAGAGGCAGATCACTAATTCATTACTTGTCTTTCAATGTGCACTGCAACCGTCGGCGCGCAATAATGATACACGATTGATGCTAAGCTATTATTGTCGGCCCTCTATAACTCACTAAGCACTTATCTGGACGTGACAAGAGGTTCAGTGCCTACTTGCGGACATGCAAGCTAGAAAGGTTATCAGGTTATTGAAAGTTCACCTACCAGCCTCATAAGGGAGCAACTATTACGCATGCATGCAATGTACAGTTCTATGTCTGCTGTCAGTCGTTCTTGTTCTGAGTTTTTGGTCGTCAGGTCTGCAAATGACGCTGAAACTTCGGCGCCCAGTGCTTGGAATAATTTAACGTGGCGTACTTGCGTGCTCCATCGTTTCATGTGACAATTAGCGGTGAGCTTTAGCCTCCTGTACGTGCTTGGATTCTCTTGATTTGATACCCCTTCAAGTCCCAACACGTCTCCTACAAAGCAACAACCAATCTGGAAGCAAGCCTGCTTGTCATGGGCATTGTCACAACCCAGCACCGACTAGGGTTTTAGTGGAGTTATGGCGAGGGGCTCAAGTGAACCTTGAGATCTATGGAAGGCCGCATACATAGCCGACGGCAACTTGATTATCTTCCGTAGAAGCTGACCGCACTGCATAAGGACGCTGCATCTTGTTGCCGGCTGCTGCAAAGAAGGAAAACGGTCTTTTGAAGCTGCGGCAGGATTCGGGGCCACAGATACACGTTACGAGACTTGCGCTTGGACTCCATGCCCAACCAGCGATTCGCATTAACCGGAAAGGCGCAATCTGTGACTCTAAGCTCAAGCAACGAGGCCCTCTCTCTCCTTGCGAAATGAGGAAGCAGCCGATGTCCACCGGTAAGAGGAGACACTTACCCGAATTTCGCACTCAGCGCCACTTCGCCGTTGCCCAGCGAATCAACGCTCATCAGTACTCCCCCACTTCGGACGCTTTTATACGCAGTCTGTACAGGTCCCGCGTCCGCACGACGAGGGCGAGTCCGCAAGCGGCCCCCCCGGCGCAAACGAAGGCCAGCAAAAGCAGTGCTAGCTGAAAGCAGGTTGCGCCTTGGCAGGAGTGTTCGGATCCTAGCGGGGGGTCAATCTGCGACGCGTGCTGAATTGCGGCTTCTCTATCGTACAGGGTGCCCGTTAGCCACGTGGAGAAAAAGTAGGCGGAGACTGGGGCGGCAACCCTGTAAGAAGAGAAAGCTTGACTTGCATAAGTCCGTCATGAGCAAATTTTCATCCGAACTCTGCCCTACCTCAAGATGAATACTTTGGGCACTTTGAACTGTGCCGAAAGCTGGCGTTGTTCCCTCACGGGTACTAAATCACTGTAAAACAGCGTTGCCGATTCTCAAACAATTACGTCATCTGTACTGAACCCGTCACAGGGCTCTCAATCGCAAAGGTACGTTGGCATCACTGCTCTTGTCGTGTATCAAACGAGTGCAAACGAGTGCCAGAGGGTCCGCTACGGACCGAGGTCGGTGTTCTTTCACGCGAATCGGGGCCTCCGACTGCTTCACGCTCAAGAAAGTTAATTTCTGCAACGAGCGGGGCTTTGAGCAGAGACGCACTGACTTTCTGCTGGGAAAGCAGAATAATCATGGCCAAAACACCGGAGGAGGGAGACCAGATCCCACACTGAAAAGCGCCGAGGTGGATCGCTCACGTGATGGTGTTGTATGTCGCCCCGTAGTGCTGGAGCCCAAACAGCTCTGACGTCAGCACCGGCATGAGCGCCCAATGAGCGCCTATGGAAAGGCCCACCAGAACCGACCCCACGTATAATGAGTAGACCGCTGCAAATAGAATCACGAATGTTCAGCTTGATGGGAATTCTCGGAGAAGGGGCCCAAGTCCGCAGAATCTGGTTAATGCAAACGCTTTCTGGAGCCTCACGGAACATGTCCCAAGCATTCTGACGGCGAATCTTACCGACGGCCTGACTCCTAAAGAGCTAGCCTTGACAATATTAGCCTCACAGGAGAAACTACAACTTGGCACATTCATTGCAAACGCGTACCGAGCATCTCGATGAAGGTTTCGGATCAGATTCTAAGAGTTTCTCTCCGCTTCTCGAGCGGACAAGGCGCCTATAGGTAACGTTCAGCAGCAATCGCTCAGAACTTAACCTCTTGCATAGAACGAAGTCCGAAGGTCCACATGCAGGCGGGCACCAGCAGACTCGGACCACTTTGGACAGGAGCTTCATGTGGGCGAATCTAGTCTGGCAAATCCATGTACGGGAGCTTCAGCAGAGCCGCTTTATCTCAGTTTCGAATGAAGCCCATGATGGTAATGGAAATGCCAATTGTGAACCTTGATGCCCCGAAGATTACACTTTTTTGTGGCTTACCGCCTGTTGCCAGGAGCAGGAGTGCCAAGCCCATAAGCGATGTGAAGACAGCGGCGGCGATCGGCCGGGGATAGCCCGCCCGAACAATGCATTCAGATGAGTACCTGTGCAGTTGTATTGCAGTAACGTCAGATGGTACCAGATGACCTACCCGCGCATCTTGGTGCCTACTGAAAATGATTTTACGCAAATAAGAATGCTCAGGATGACATCCGCGGCCGCTTGACGCGCCAGAAATCAAAAGAGAGGCAACAGGCTATGACCTTGCGTGTATTGCTCTGTCGCACAAAGGTGAGCCCCGCACCTCAACCACGCACTTCCATACTCCGACCTGCCCTCACGACTCGCGCTGACATGCGGCAAGCAGTGCGACATCTTCTTCGCCCATAAGAAAACGTTGCACCCCAAAATAACGAAACATTCTTGAGGAAGATCATAGTGAGCCGAGGTACAGAAAGCGTCAACTGAAACACAATTTTCGCAACTGCACCGCACCCCTTCCCACGCAAGAACTCCCTGACGTAACCCAGCCGTCTCAGTCGAATCACCTCAGCATACCTTTGTTGAGATAGAAGTACAAAATCCTCACCCGGCCAGAAGGCGCCCGAGACAGTTCCAGATGCTGAAGAGCGAGATGAAGGACGAGATGCGCGCGTTCCCAAACGAGCGCGCAATCTGCCCGAAGTTGTTGATGATCGTCAAGCCGCTTCCCGTGCCAGCTGCAATGATGGCGGCCAACAGCCTGGAAAATGGTGGGCGGGTTTGATAGTCGGGTCAAGTGGAGGGTTAGCGATAACCTGATTGGTCCAGGAAGTAGCTGAGAACTAGAAGTAAAGCTGAGGTATAAGATTGAAAAGGAGGGTCAAGCGGTCATGATGAGTTGGAAGGAGAGCGAGCAAAGGGTAAAGAATCAGCTTGCAAAAGGTGGGTGGGTATACTAATCGGGTCAAGTCGAGGGCTAGCGGTAAACCAAAGGGTCCAGGAACTAGCTGAGAACTGGAAAGCAAGCTGAGGTCAAGATTGAAAAGGAGGGTCAGGCGGTTATGATAAGATTGAAAGGGAGCGAGCGAAGGGTTCAGAATCCGCTTGCAAAGGGCCTGGCTCTTCATACGGCGGGTTTCCAAGAAGGTTGACTTGCAGAGCCCGTTGATACGAACAAGGTTAAGAGGTAGGTTTGAAGGTAGCCTATTTAGAAAGTCGACATTCAGTTTTGAGAGGTTGTCGTCGCAACACTTCGCATCCAGTGAATATCATTTGGGCCAGCCTCGTACCCGGCCGCTCGAACTCGATCCAAGCATTGCACTTTTGCTTTAAAAGCCAACCGTTCCAACTTTCTAAGAAGTGGGGTCGTATGCAAAGGGGCGAACTGAGAGGCGTGCCCTTTCCGGCGACCGATGTGTACGGATACAGCAGCTTCGGTCGCTGCACGAAGGCGCCACGAAGCCGGACGGCTCCTTCAATCGACACTGTTAGAGCGCAACTTTGACTAATCGTGCCGTCAGAACCCTTTTAGATGGCGACAACTGTACAGGGAAACCCCGCGTTCGGTAGGAGCGTATTCTCACCAGAAGTTTGCTGTCTGCACGCTCTCGCACAAAGTCAGCTCCGGCATCTCGGTGTGAATGGGCTCCTCCTGCAGCAGCTTGCTGCCGTCCTCGTTGTCCGGATCGGGCGAGACCATTTCGGTAGCGTCCGATTCCATGGCGGCCCGCTCATATTCCCGACGTCCAATAAACTGGGGAAGGAAGCAACAAAAAGCGAAGGTGAAGACAAAAACCATAAAGAAAGTAGCCAGAGCGGAACGTGAATAGCCGCACCTTTCAGGGAAACGAAGGAGAAGACGGCTGTTGCAAGTGCACAATGCAGGTACACGACCAGGAAGATTGTGTGTGAGGGCGACACACTCTTGACATGAATGTTCATATTCCGACAGGTTGCCCAGAAAAGCAGTGGGTGCCTTCCTTCAATGTTGCGGCCCTCGTTCTCTTCAGCGAAACCAGAGTGTGACGTAAGAAGCGTCTCCAGGCAACTTTTTACCTTCTCAATTATGCGGCAAGCAACGAACACCTTGCTCAGGTCGCCGGTTGAAATTCGTCACCTTCCGAATTTACCCTATCTTCAGTCTTCCATACGGTTGGCCGCTTCTTGTATGCTTGGTACAGGCCAATTTTGCATAAAGCATAAATCGTTCCACAAGAATCTGTTAGCAAGGCGTCTCACCGGCATCCCAAGTGGTAGGAAAAGGATGGCGATCATGACGGTGGTCAGCACCCGCTGAGTGCCCACCCCCAACACAAACGCTTCCTGCACAGATGAACGAACTGTAAGCATAGGCGTGCAGACTAGGACGGCGACAGCACGAGAGTGCTGATGAGCCTTGGAGCTTTCCATACTAACAGATACGGATCTTAGCCACCTTTCAATGGCGCTCCCGTGACACCAGAACTCGGATGCGGGCGCTTGAGGCTGAACTACAGAGAAGGTACTCTAAGCTGTCGCTCAGTGGTGGCTGACTGGAGCAAAAATCACGAGGATCCAGGATATAAGACTGCAAAAGGGACTCACCGAAAGAATAATGGTGACGAAGAGGTACCCCGCCAGAAGAAGAATGATGTACTGCAGGAACATAAACAAGTCAACTCTATGCCGGCATCTCGTCTCACCAAACACGGTTTTGACTTTTTGACAGTCATTTTTTGGCAAACTGTGCTTTAGCCTCGCAATTGCAGGATAAGTTCCAACTCTAGCCGGGTGAATCAAATGTTTTGAAGGGTGTTGGGCAAACGGACGAATCGAAGAGATTGGGTTGCGGTGCCAAGAACCACCTGGCTGGCGCTTTCTATCTTGGACTTGGCGAGGTTTCTTGTGTCGACCAGACAGAGGTCATCCGCAGTGCTTCACAACCGCAGACGGCCCGAAGACCTGGTTATTTGGTAATATCACCAGTGCATCGTTGCACGAACCCCACTATAGCGAATCAACTGTCGTGAAGACTCGAGCAAACCGCCATGGAAAGCAAGGTAGGCGAGGAATGGACACCGAATGGCAATGAGCGGAAACCAAGCGAAGAGCGAAAGGCGGGGAAGTTCTCACATACGACCACCGAAACCGTTTCGCGATGTCGTGCGGATCCGTGTCCTGCTTGTTGGGGTACGGTTTGATGAAGGCCATGACGGCGGTTAGCAAGACAAACGGCCCCACTGCTTGCAACAGGATGAAGCGGCTGGGGTAGCCGTCGAAGAAGCTCGTGTAGACCTGCGGCACAAGCGAGCACACAAAAAACAAATTGCATTTAACCTGGACAGTATTCAAGGCAAGAGAGGAGCCGAGGCCAAGAACACAAAAGAGCCTTTTTCGACGAGTGCGATTGAAGTAGTCCGAATTTGTTTTCGAAGAAGCGAGCAGGCATGGTCTTAAAAAAACTACTCCAAAAGACCGGGAGAACTGAAAACCTTGGCTCATATCTCCAATACGCCACGTAAATGATCGTGGGATCAGCAGCTGGCAGGTTGCTTGTGGAGACTGTGCGTTACTGGAGTTCTGAAGGAAAACCACGCTGGAGATTTAGTCTTGATTAAAGCTTAAGCAGACCAAGGGGCTGAAACACCCAAACACTGCTCGTTCAACACAGCAGCCCTGATGCGAAGGCGACCTCAGAAAGACGAAGATGTGGGTTGTGATCTTCACGAGCGATCACTTCAAATTGACTCTTGATCACAGACACATGAAACTGTGCTACCCGCAAAAAAATCGGCCCGGCTTACTCGTGCAAACATTGCGGTGCTCAATCCGAGGTACGCCTTCAGTAGCCCGACAACGTAGCCCCGCTCCAAAGGGAAAGTCTGCATGCTGGAAAACAATGCGTGGTGATGTCAGCATAAACCCGACCACATGGCCCGCTCTGAGGGGAAGGTCTGCATGCTGGGAACTGCTTAATAGTGACATCAGCGATAACAACCAAAGGACTTTGGAAAGGATGATGCAGCTTATGCGGTCGTAAGTGGAGGGCAGAATGATGAAAGCCAGTACGGATGCCTAAGGGGTTTGAAAGGAGCACGAAATACAGGATGAGAATCGAGTCGCTCAAGGATCCGGCCATTGGCTCGGCCCGGAGAAAGTACTCTCAAATCTCAGAACTCGAGTGTTGTCAACCGTCGTATCAAATGTGCAGAGAAGAAGAAGAGAGGATCTTTTGAGACGGTAAAGCAGCAAGTCTTCACTGGTCTCTTCAATACTCTCGTGCTGTATTCGGCTCAGTCACAGGTCTGCTGAAAAGATTCAACAGCAGGGGGACGAAATCATGTTGGGCAGTTCGGAAACCGTCACAAGGACTATTGGGAAGTCCTGCCAACGAAGAATCCCAATCAGCGGACTCAAAAAACGTTTCTGTAAGCGCCACTTTGCGAAATGTTCCAGTGCAGGAAAAGCAAGCATTGGCCAACTTGTCCATGTGGACCTCAACTAAGTAAAGACCCTACATCTCAGTTGACGTTCTGAGAGAGTCTCAGCGCTTACTTGGTGACCATGATGGCAGTTGACACCCAGGGCTCCCCGTTTGAGCCGACCACCATAAATGCGCAGACCATCAAGTAAGGGGGTGTGATCACCTTCAGGCTCGTCAGCCATATCTGCACGAGGGATCCAACATTTGGTCGTCCCAAAGTGCATGCGGACTCAGCGAATGTATCCTTTGCTGCTCTAAGCTCCGACATTTACTTTCTGTCTAGATCAAAGCAACCACTGACATTTGTCATTGGCTCACAGGCTTCGTTAGATACACAGATAACCTCCAGAACAAAGGGTGAGGCAACTCCTACTCACCCCCAGATAGCCTGCCAAATTGAAGCTGGCACCGATCAGGACAGAGACCCAAGGGGGATAGAAGTTGTAGAGCAGTCCTGTTAGAATACCGTAACCCCCTCCAAAGTCCTTGCTAGATCCGAGCCCGTCGATTTGGGTCTGCGACCAGTTCAGCGTCTCTTTGAGATGCTCAGAGTAGACCGAAAAAGAATAGGTGAGACCTGAACATGCCTGCAGAAAGAGAAGAATCTGATTTGTCAGTCAGTCTGCGCCGTGAGAGTGTTGAGTTTCTTTTGAGTGGTGGAATGGGGAACTTTCTTTCTCAAAAGCACATTGAAAGTTCCAAAGAACTGCTGGGAAAAGGGACCTGTTTGGACGTGTATATTTTTCAAGAGAAACTTGCCGCAAGGCTTGAGATGCTTTCATAAAAGTTCTGATACCGTCCAGACTTCTTTAGAGGATAACTGCTACCGTCCGGAATTGCTCTGATTCACAGGCTTGATACGAACATCAATGCTCCACCCAAGAGAAATGCGGGCTCTCATACATTTTCCCAGTATGGTTTAGAGTGATGTACCTTGCGTGTACCATGCTGAAAGAGCGCAGCTTTTGATACGACGGTCAGACTCAGCTCACGCTTTGCATCTAGACTGTCTGGTATAAGCACCTGAGAACAGCATTCAACGGCAAAAGCTTACACCACCAACAGTCTTCATGCCGGATGACACTCCATGTTATAAGATCTGTCAGAGTATGAGACGAACCTGAGGTCTTAGAATTAATGCACACTGAAGCAGAATGTGGTGGTTGAAAGCGTGCTTCTGAAGCAAATGAGCTCTTCATCAAGAGTCTTTCGAAAGAAGTCAAAGCTAAGGTTTTTTTGCTCAGGTCAGCACCTCACCGCAGCATAAATTGCAGCAGCCAAGCCCAGCCATTCATTGTCCTTGAGCGTCCGTTGGTGCTTTTCTGACGCTACTGAAAAACTTTGCATGATTGAAATGGGACTCTCTGATATGATCAAGAAATGGTGGCTCAGCAAGTGTGCGATGCAATCAAAGCGCGCTGCCTTAGTAGCGATAATCGGCTCCTACGTTGCTGCAACATGTTGCCATACCAATGGGTTTGAATCCAGTGGAGCCAGCTCTGAATGTGTGTCCTGTGCACTAAGCGAGTGCGGAGTCGAGGAGGGGCCCTCATTCACAGTCAGTGAGACGATCAACTGCGACCTTATCAAATCCGCTTGTAGACACTCAGAACTCCTTGGACCCTAGGCTTCGCTGCGCATGACACTGGCTGTCCTGCCTACCACCCTGCTCAATGCTGCCATGCACCTAGCTAGACTAGAGTCTGCGTTTGGAGAAAACGACCTTCCTTCACCTTCCCTCCACCTCGAACTTGGAAGTTGCATCCCCCTTCCTCAGTCAGGAACTTCAAACTGGATCTTGTCCGAACCATTCCTTAATTCGCGCGCCAGGTGCATGAGAAACCGGCGTGCCTCGGCCTTCAAAATGGCAGACCAAAACCAAATTTGAAGGAAAACCGGCAGAACGTAGTGCATGAACGGTACTCGTTAACGATAACCTGTTGACCAAACCTGCAAACACAATGCAATGTGCAATGCCAGCATTGACCAAGGACTCCAGCTAGAGCTTGATGAGGAGGGCGCCTGATTACTCACAGGTACCTGGCCTGAGGACTCAAAGCAAGCTTGCTTGTTCAGAAGGCAAGGGTTGCAGCTTCATGTGATGTGTGATGTTGGTAAAGCAAGCGAACGTTTCAGACCTGGTGAGACTAACTTGTTTCGAAGGGCTGGGGAACGGTGTCTAATCTTAAGAAGCAGCTCCTCGTGCAACTTCGCGAATGCAGGAGCCAAGCGGGTCGGTTATGTTAGGTGGAAGTAGAAGATAGAAAATCGAAAAATATTGTGCTCAATTGAGGATATGGATCCCCCAAAGTTTGATCCAGGGGCACTAGAGGCGCCACCAACGACACAAGTTCGCAAGGACCTCGGATTCTGGAAGCGCTTCTTCCGCCAGAAGGAGGCGGTGACTGGCCTAGTTCTGACCAGCGCGTGCCTCTTCCTGTCGCTTCGAATCATGAACGACAAGAAGCGCATCGAAGCTGGGACAGCAGAATGGGAGAAGGTGAACAAAGAAGTGGAGAGTAGGAGGGAGGAGAGTGCGCGGTTAGCGGAGGAGAACAGGGGGCTGCGCACTGCTTTGGACGGGTTGAGAGAGCGGGTTTTGAATGAAGTGAGGATGAATGGGCGGAAGCTGCCACCATTGGAAGCGCGGGTCGGAACAGTGTTTGCAGAAGCGGAGTCAAAGTCACAGGTCGCGGTGCCGGAAGGGAGAGAAACAGAAAATACGGGTCAAGGTAAGGCGCCAGCCAAATTATATGTTACTTTTGCATGATGTGCGTATGTTGTTGTGGAAGATTGTTGTCGGATCCAGGGTGCAAGGTTGATCCAGGGGCCTCAAGGTGCCAAGCAGGAAATCAATCAGCTCAGCATTAGAGCTTAAAGAAGTCCGAGGTACTCGATTATAGATTTGTGTTCTGCAGTTTCTAGGTGCTTCTGTTTGGCTCTCATGTTAGCGGTTCTGTTTGGCTTGTTGATTCATCTGGCTCATGTGGTTGGCACTTTTTAAGCCCGTAGTGGGGCAGCCAACGTGGTACTTTTGTCATTTGGTGAATGTAAGCGAACTCTCATGCATCAACGTGCAAGCCATTGGGATTTCTTAGACTCAGGGTGCTGCTTGCCCTTGGGACAGGGTGCTGGCTGTTTGACATGGGTCGAAACTTTGTGCAACGCTGGGTTTGAGAAGCGACCAGAGGAAGACTCGAGCTAATTGAATTTGCAGTCAAAAGTCACTGCGACATACCTCAAAGTCCTACCGTCAGGGGGTAATGAATGCCCCCTCTCCTCCCTATTTTGGGGCTCATCAGGTCTTTATGTCATTCTCAGCAGCTGTAGCAGCTTCCTTCTTGATTTTGCACTCACTGGGCTCAATTGGCCGAACTAGAGTTTCAAGCATTGTTTTGACTGCACGTCAGAGTATTAGAGACAAGCTTTTACATACTTGTCTGGGCTTGGTAGCACCCATGTCTTATCTATACAGTTTTCTTGCTTGAATGTGGTAAAAACGGGAAGGACAACCATTGCCTGTTGATTGCTTGTTGTGTTTGAATCATCCATTCTTCTAGCCAAATCGACCCTTCTCTGATGCAGAAAGCAGACAGCTCACGAAGTCGAAGAAGGGGTTCTTTGTCTGATCTACAAGCTTGATCCACACAAGAAGACTGTTGACACCAAGATGGACGTGTCAGTTCCTTCTACCAACGAAATGGTGGCTCGTGCGCTTGAAGAACGGAATCTAAGCGCAACATGAGCTTCTCGGTTTTTCCAAGTATTGGATAGAAACAGGCTACAAGGCGCTTGGACAGCTTCAACAGTCCACTAGGTACTGTGTGGAACAATGCAAAGCTTTGCGTGCCAAAATGCCTTCGCTACGGTGAGAATTCCACATCCTACCAAGGCATGACGCACCTCTGCATTTCCCTGCGATCTCACCACGATTAGTGGCCATGTGCCAGCATGTATACAACTTATGGAGGTGATTCACTGCTGTGTTACTTGCTTGTGCTCCGAGACTGGGACGATGCTCCGACTGTATGGGCATGTACATGCATATCCGGGCCCAACACCTGCATGGCGACTTGGGGCTTGGAACTAATTGAAGTGAAAACCGCACGAGTCAGCAACCACTAGCTCGAGGATCGTACCCATGATGCATGACGCTAGAGCAATTTAACTTGATATTGCCAAGTCGAGACTTCGATTCTCCGCAGAATTCCACCCATGACATGAGGCAAATATGTCTTCAATCCGCCTCCGCTCTCAAAGTGACTACTTTTCATGAAGGAAACTTTGAGAGAACAAGTTGGTAGAGCTTCAACATGGACTGCAGCTTGCATTTCGCAAGTTCCGACTTGGGCGGGCTGAGGAAGAGCATCATATGCAGATTCCTGAATCGGACTCACCAAGTGCAGGATGCCAATGGCTGTACGTGCTGGCTGTGCAGTCACAATAACGAGTGCTCAGTCACATTGCTCACTGCTCAGGAGTCAGGGCCGCTCGCGCTTTCGATTTCTGAAAGCGGACCGCTCGATCGGACGGTCGGCGAGCCGCACGACTTGGATCGGACGTCATCCAAGCAAAGGAATCCCCCGGAATCTGAGGTCCTGCGACATGTCAACAGCATTTTAGGTAGATTCAAGAGTCAAGACTCGAACTCCGAGTGCTCAGCTGGAACTCAAAAGCCTCTCGAAAGAGGACCTTGCATTCTGATGGAAGTTGGCTGCCCTGCTTGAGAGCTCTCTGTAACGAGTCCTCTTGTGCCCTCGAGGAAGGCAGAAACGCACAGCAAAGACTATAGGATGGGGTGCATCCGGCAGCGCGCTTTTGCTTGGAAGGTGATGATGAAGCGATTGGATATGAAGCCCAGCAAGGCACCGGGGCACTTTCACTAGAGGAGTACGCATTTCAAGCACAGAGACCGAGCAGCTTCCGCCTTGGACAATGTGCATGCAAATGAAGCCGATCACAGACTGGGAGGTGAATTTGACACTCAAGGTGCCAACTTTATGTCGTCACCTGCTGAACCTCCAGCAGTAGGAAGAATCTACTTGACTGTCCGAGGGTGCGCTCCTTCCAAATGGAGGCGGTGCTGCCAAAGTCAGGTGCAAGCTGCACAAAGCAGCTGGGAAAACACTGGATCCTTGTGACGCTTAGCATTCTTCTGAGCTCTCTGGTGATTTCGGTCCTCCGCGGTGCTCTTCTTCGGGATCTGGAAGGGTGTCCTTATGCATTTACGGTTCTGTCTAACGCGCAAGGAGTTGAGACAGAAGTAGTGCAGAAGCACCGTCCCATTTACGCGGGGATGAATATGACATGTTATGTAAATCGCTGTCAGTCTTTGAGTAATGAAGGGAACAATACACAGGGAGCCGTTGATCATTCTGGCTTGCAGCAGCAGGGGCAGTCAAAAAGAGAGTCAAACAATGCTGATGGACATGAAGCAAGCACAAAAGGAGATCAATTGGAAGCTGCTCTGAAAGTGGCACGAAAGGAGGCAATTGAACCAACGGTGGATCAGCGGGGTCCTCCTGGGGGAGAAAGTAATGATTCAGTTGGCATTGAAGAAAGCACTAGAGAACTAGGTCGACCGGTTGTTCCTCTAAACACTGCAGAAGAGACAGCAGCGTCGCAGAGGCAGGGCCCTCCTGATGGAGAAAGTGATGATTCAGATAGCCCAGAAGTAGATGAAGCATTAGCAGTAGAAGAGGTAGATGAGGCATTAGCTGTAGAAGAGGCAGCAGGCCAATCGGCGTCGCTTCAGGAGGGGCCTCCTGATGAAGAGAGGAACGATCTGGGGGAGGCAAAAGCAAGCACAGAAACTGATCAGCTCGTAGCTAGTCTGGAACTCGCGCGGCGCCCTTCCCTGTACATCTTTTCAGCGCACCATTGGGACGCTAACATCGAGAACGAGTTTGAGCACCTCGTTTCAGATGTCGGTCCAGAAAATGCTTTTCTCCTTTTTGACGAAACCCATGAAAGATACTCTGGAAAGTGGCAGAACGTCTTTCACCTCAGGGACGGCTCGTACGCGTTTCGAGCGAGGACTGAGAGTGTGGCAGATCTAGGGCCGCTAGTGCTGCTTACGAACACTGAAGAGCTGACGGCAGGGAGCAATCTCTTTCATGACAGCTGGACTACAGTCCATGGAAAATTGGTTCTTGTCTACCGAGCTGTCCTTGTGGCGAACCGCTTTGAGTACGTATGGGTCATAGAGTCTGACGTCCGGTGTAAGGGTTCGTACAAGCATAGTCTAGAGAAGGCAGATAGTCTTAGTCATGACATCTTGGGTCGAGAGTTGAAGGTATACGGGGAGGAGAACAAAGATTGGGAACACTGGGAAGACTTGGAGGGTCCTGTAGAATTACGCAAACGCGTAGCTCTCTTCCTGCCTGTGATGCGACTCTCAAGGTTTGCCTTTGAGATACTCAGCACGGCAGATCACGACGGCACGATACGAGGGTATCAAGAAATCTACATACCAACAATACTTTCAGCATATGGAGGCACTCTTGGAGAGCTGCCTGAAGGTATGTTTGGGGTCTTTCAGTTTAGGCCAAAGTTGTCAAACGGAGAGTACGGGCATTTGAGTACATCACCAGGAGCAGTAAACATTCTGTATCACCCAGTGTTAGATGATTGATGAATCTTTTGTGTATACGGTACACTAGCTGGTCAAACAAATTGCGGTAATTCAACCGTCACAGCCAGGCTTCTTTTGCCCTACTTGAGCTGATCAAGGTCAAGTTATTCAAATAAGTTCAGGTCACAAACGTGAGGCCGGGCAGCTCTAGGTTAGCTTCTCTCTATCGATGGCGACTATGCCTCATACAACATCTGAAGAAGGAAAAACGCAGATGACCATGGGGAACCACTGAGTTCTCTCAGTAATTTAAGCCAGCAATGTCGGAAGAGCATATGGCTGTTTATGCGACATTCCGAATCATACCGGGTCGTCACGGCAACGGTGTACGATAGACATTCCGGCCCCGGGAGCAGGCCTCATGCAGATGGGGGTCGAGTTTTCATACAGCCTAAAAAGAGGGGAACATTACCGTACATAATTGACGAGCTAGCTGCCTACCAGCCTCGACATGGTGCGAGCTTTCAAGTTTCGATTGCTTGTGACCATCAAAGTCATATGTCTACATGGTTTGAAGAATGAAGTCGAGTTGTTTGGAGATAGATGATATGATAGCACGTCCGACCGCGACATGTCAGTGCGGATCGATCGCGAGCTCGAATCCAACGTGCACGTGCGTAGTACCCGGAGACTGCACATGGCGCGGGAGGCCTGAGTCACGGTTGCAGCTTACTGCATGATAGTGAAGTTGCTAGTATACAATTACCGACGGTCACATGCAATCATGCACATGTGCCGCTGCGGCCAGAGGAATACGCCGGCACGGAGGCCCTTCTGTCTGGCCGGGCCACACAGATTGGGAATTTTGATTGTGAAAAAGTCTTGGTGCACTTATACACGTACGTATATGGTATCTCTAGGTCACATGGTATACACGTCATGCGACAAAGATTCGCGAATGTAGACGCGTCTTACTGTTTGTGTCCATGATATCGGGTTGCTAAGATACGCTCACGGCTGCCGAGTCAGACCCGATCCAAAGGGTACCGTTGGCGTCGTTCAGGTGATATGAAGAAAGCAACACAAAAGCTGGTTAATCTGTGGCTTCAACAAATGTGCAGCCTACCTTGATGATTCGCAACGGAACAGTAAATTGTCTGACTTCAGCAGACTTTTGTCGAAGCTCAAACCACTCTACCAACGTCCTACTAGGGCAGCAATTTCTAGTTTTCTATCGAAACCTCATCTCATGCAGACTACAAGCCCCGCATCACAACTCTGCACCAACCCGCCAATGCGGTACAATCAATAGTATTTATGTTCAGAGTAGAAAGAAAGAAAGACTTCCTAATCGCTAACCAAGATCTGTACTACCGCTTCCTGCCTGCGAGAATACGAGAGATTTGCAGGCCACGGCTGAAGGCCGTGTTGAACAGCAGCCTGGTCTGGATGGTGGAGACGAAGGGCAGCCAGGCGAGAACGGCGACGGGGGCGAAAATAACGATCCCCATCCCGTACTCGTAGGTCCTGGCCATAGGCTTCACAGAGTCCCACAGCCCGAGCGTCTTGAGGGCTGGCTTGAAGACCAGGGAGATCTGAAAAAGAGCAATGAGCGACGGCACGTTCAGTTTGCGAAGATGTATACGGTTGTGCTCAGCGATTGTGAGGGGACGGAAGGTAAAAAAAGAAGCATCTTCCTGTGTTGGCCGACGCCCTTGAGCACAACTCAAGCGACACGGGAAAGCGCGTGTTGAGAACTACCGAACTTCGCGCCGAAAGCAAAGGGTCGCTCGCATCTGCCATTGGGAAGAAAGCCAAACAGCTTTTAGTAAATGCGAGATAGTTTGAAGATCCCCAATACGTTCCCTGCTCCAGGGGGTGAACGCTCGGAGCGCGTGCGCCTAAGGTCTGGCATGATACTCAGACGATGAAAGTACGAACAAGCTGCAACGTCGTAGGTGAGAGTCGGGGGACCGATGCTACCTCAGGCGACCAGATCGCCTCCACCTAGGGCCAGATTGGTCGCCGACGGCAAACTTTACGATTATTTGTGGGTCATCGAATGACTCTTCGTGGGGCATTGGATGACCCGTTCCCCCAAGACTCCCTTGCAATTGTGCGCTTTAAAAGCAGACACCCGTTTTAACACTCACCGACAAGAGGCCCCAGCCCGTGGGCACGAACGCGAGGATCGACGAGAAAAGGTCGCGGAACGTGAGGCGCGTGAAGATGAGGCAGAGGCTGATGATCACGATGGCCGCAATGAACGCGAGCGCCTTGACCAGGCGGAACATGAGCTGGAAGTCGGCGCTGAAGCGCTTGCGCCCGAAGGACACAATCTTGAGCAAGATGAGGACCGCGGCAACCACGATCCACGAGACGGCGTACACCTACGGAGGAAAAGGTTCGACTCGTTAAACAGTCACCTACTGGGTTTGGCTGAGAAGCCTTAGAGTTTGGCTAACACGCTGTCAGGTTTGGCAAAGACCCTGACTCAAAGGTTCAAGCGCTCTGCACCCGTACTCACCTCAGCCCTCTTGAGAAACCGGCACGTCCCGAGTACTTATGACCGAGTTTGAGATATACTCAAATCAACCGGAAATTCATTAAAGCGGAGGACCCTACTCGAGGTTGCATCGAGCAGACTTCATATCGTACATGACATCTAAACAAGCATTGGGCAAGAGGTTGGCGCGTAGCGAACGGAGTAGGTTGCAAACACGGAGTCGCCCTCCGGGTGAACGCCGCCAATCGGACGAAATGTCAGCTTCCTCAATACAGATTGCCCCCACAAAACCCACGGGTCTCGCACGAGCCCAGCCAATAAACTCACCCAGCCCGCCTTGTTGCCGTGCGTGACGTTCATCTGGTACACAACTCCGTACTGGAAGAGGAAGAAGCGCAGCGAGAGCGCGACCTCCCACAGCTTCCCCCAGAAGCCGGTGTACTGCAGGTGCTCCTGCTCCTCCGCCCACCACGACTCCCAGCTCTCGTTCGCGCTCACGCCGATGCCGCCCTTGTGGCCCAGCCACTTGATCCAGTCCTCGTAGTCCTCCACCGTCCTGTAATAATGACACGTGTCAGCAAAGGAGTGGTGTGGTCGTGCTTGTAATTGTCCTGATGCCGCCCTTGTGGCCCAGTTGCTATCATAGTCCTCGTGGTCCTCCACCGTCCTGTACAGGTGACACGTGTCAGAGAGGAATTCGTCGTTTAATACTGTTACTAGGCGTATCCATGGCCCCTTGTGGCCCAGCCACTTGATCCAGTCCTCGTAGTCCTCCACCGTCCTGTACAGGTGACACGTGTCAGAGAAGGATTCGTCGTTTGATACTGTTACTAGGCGTATTGATGCCCCCTTGTGGCCCAGGCGCTAATCCGTCGTTGTAGTCCTCCACCGTCCTGTACAGGTGACACGTGTCAGCAGATGAGAGGTTTTGGGGTGTGGTGATTATCGTGCACCTTCAGTGGGCGTCCTGATGCCGCCCTTATGGGGCAGCCAAATGACCAAGTCCAGACACATCGTCACTGACTTGTAGAGCTGACACGTGGCAGCAGCATATCCAGAACTCTGATCGAGTATGTGGTCAGTATCTAGGCCCTTGTCCACCAGCAATTGCTCCAGCTCTCATGGTCATTCAGCAATTTTGAGACCGAAGGAGGGACAATTCGACTAAGGATTCAGCACTGACACAAATACTGTATGGTATCTGGAATGATCAGGGAGAACGCTTGGAGCGTACTGATTTTGGGTGACACATGTTGCTTAGCGGCTGCGGAGAAGAAGAAAGCGGCTTCTTAGCTACTCGGATCAATCTGCTCGGAGCTATTGAGCGAGCGAACGTGGTTTAGCTAGCCGCATATCTTAAGGTAATTGCTTGCCCTGGCACGAGCAGAATACAGTCCCATCCGCGGCTCCGTTAAGGACCTAGCGTATGCACGTCTACACCACGAAAACCCGCCTTCTTGTGGGTCCGCCGCTTTTTTACAGGAACAAGTACGGGCGCCACCGATCAAGAGGAATCAAGCTTCAAAGCTGACTCACTTTTGCCAGTCGAAGCCGGAGGGGTTGAAGACGAAGGGCGCAAAGAGCCAGGAGGCAACGAGGAAGTAGAGCGAGAAGGTGAGCAAGCCGTAGGAGGCGCCGCCCCGCTCGAAGCTGCCGTACGCCTTCCACACGATCAGCAGCAGCAGCATCTCCAACCTGGAGGGAAAGGGTTGTAGGGTCAGAGAGTGTTTTCTAGCTAGGAAAGTGTTTCTGGGACTTCTAAAACAGGTTTGCAATCTGGAACCCAGACGAGTCAGCGACAGTTGACGAGCTTCATTGGGCAATGGTCTGGACAGTCGCGTTGAGTCTCAGCTAAAGACGGGTTGCTCGGATTCCACGCAAGCCGGTTGCCGGTCACCCAAAGTAGGCACGTCAAACGAAGATGGTAAATGAAGCCAAGCAAAGTACAGTTGGAAGACTAAACTCACGCTTTGACGAAGTGGCTCCTGGAGTAGAGCCGGTAGTTCTCGGCGAACTTCTCGTGCCGCACGACGAAGCCGCGCCCAGTGGCCCGGTACTTGGCACCGCCGTGCAGGACGGTGCGCCCGAAATAGTGCGTCTTGGTGCCCAGGGAGAAGGTGAAGAAGACGGACGCAAGCTGCAGCTGCATCATGATGAAGTTCAACAGGGCCTGCAAGGAGCAAAAAGAAAGTCAAGTCAGTAGGGATTCCTTGGAGACAGAAGAGAATGAGAGGCTCAGCGAAGCGGCGATGTATTTGGAGGTGACTCCAAACCCCCTCGAGGGTGTCTTGAGCACGTTGATGCCGCTTGCTGCACGTTGTTCAACATTGTTCTAGTTATGAGTCACTGAGAGGCGGAAGAAACTCGGTCGCAAGAACGCCTTGCCGCGATGGCTCTTTCTCGCAAACCCTACCTCTTGTCCACTTCCCCCTCTGGTTCGGTCCTTTTAAACTCCCCTTTTCAGAATCCGGTGAGATGAGAAAGGTCTCAGCAAGCTGCCCGAGGTAAGAAAAGGTAAGAAACAGAACCAAACAAGCCAACAAAGGTTCCGCCGCCCACCTGTCTGAAGCCCTGCTCCAGGCCCATCTCCATGACCATGGGCAGGCCCATGAGCAGCCCAATCTGGACGATCGAGACGGTGTTGATGGCCCCGAGCAGGGAGTTGTTCTTGGTGATTTCGGCCTCCTTTTCCAGCGAGTACTGGATGCCGCTCATGACCAGGTAGAACTTGCCGTACAGGAACGCGTACAGGCACAGCACCACCAGCTGCCATGGGAGAAAGGTGCCGGTCAGTGAGGCTTGACATTCTGACCAGTCTAGTTCGTGTGGGACGTTTTTGCGACCGTTATTTCATTCCGGATCGTGGGAGTCTTCACAGTCATTGGGCAACTGCGAATGTGAACGAAATGGAGGCAAAGGACGAACCGACGAAACTTTTCTTATCATGGAGATACCTTCCCGAACACGAAAGAAATGTAAAAGTAAGTTTTCCTAGCTCACAAGCGGTTGCGCAGGGAACATTGTAAGGAAACCATGAGAGCCGCCCACCATAAGAAGGAAATGTCCTGATTGGAGCAGGCTGCAGCAGATTAAGCACGACGGTCTCCGTCCAGAAACCTGATTCCCTGGCCGTCTATGCACACTGAAAAGCTCACCATGGTGTTGAAGAAGAAGCCGATGGTCGTGAACCACGCGGACATCATCCGCAGGAAGTCCAGCCTGTGGCCCAGCCGGTAGATGTCCCTACTGAGCGTCTGCTCGCCGTTGCCGTTGGCCACCTTGGCCTCGAACAAAGACACCTGGTTGAGCCCCACGTCACGCCCCTTCCCGACCTGGATGTACTCGTGGTGCGTGATGTTGCCGCGGCGCAGGGTCGAGTTGAAGCCTGACGAGAGACGGGAGGGTCCAGATCAAAATGAGCGGTTTCCGCTTCTCAAGCTTTCAGAGTCAAAGGGTTCAAGTTCTTCTAAGGTCGCTGCTCTGCAGGAATGGGTTGCACAAGGCCGCAGCTGATGCTGGGTAGGAAGAACCTGGTGCATGTGTTTTTCACCGCAGTCAGGGTATTGATGGGGACGAAAGGCCCGATCGATATTATTGCTGCTCGCAGAAGCGCAAACATTCTCGGAAGGTCTGGGAGACGTCGGAAGCCAAACACGACTTGCTTCCGGATTTCTTCACAATGAACAGAGCGTGGTAAACAGGTCAAGATGAACGAGGAGTCGCCTCGTTGTGCGCATGGAGCATGAAGGCTCACCAGCATAGATATCCTCGCTCAGGTTGATGACCCTGGAAGACTTGCTGATGCCTCCCCTTGTGATGTGGAAGAGGCGGTCGAAGACGTCGGGATGCCCGTAGTGGAACCGCACCCTGCATGTCGAAAAGAGCGGCCATGAGCATTGAGGAGTCCGAATGAGGCATACCAAAAGCTCATGACTCCGTCTCAGTATACTCCTTATGCCAGCCAAAAGCGAGGGCGCCGAAAGAGGATCTCTGAACTGAACGACGAAAATAAAGGTCAGAGGCGTGGGCACTTGCGATTCAACGAAAGAAGGCCTTTGAATCGGACTCTGCCACAAACAAGCACACGTTGCGACCTCGACAGATTGCCGCATCTTTGCTGGAAGCCTCACGGTAGGGCTGCCCAAGACTTACTTGAGCGGGTTGGCGAGCACTCTCTGCCCGATGGTGACGAAGCTCATCTCCTGCTGCGACATGAACCAAGCCAGGGAGGACACGCTGCAGGTGACGGGAAGCACTATTAGCATAAAGCGGGTGAAGAGATGCGGACGGTTCTTTTTCACGTAAGAAGAAGAACTTGGCTGCGCCGGAGTCAGGTGCTGCTGCAAAGCTACCTAAAAGGAGCAGGTCGCGTTGCTACAATGGCAACAACAGCAGCAGAAACGGCAAGCCGGACTAATTGATGATTGGCTGAAAAAAATCGCTTTGGAGAAGCGCACTTCTCACCAACGTATCCACAAGAAACACCGAAAGAGAGAAAAGACAACCTCACAAGTATCCTGTCCTACACATTCCTGCCCACTCAGCGCTCGATACAGATGTGCTCCCTGACCCCCAGCGAAAACTAAAATCTCAGCAACAACGCAGTCTGCCCACTCACCCGCCCGTGAAGATGTGCTCCCTGACCCCCAGGATTGTGGCGGGCCGGATGCCGTGGTTCTCGTGGAACTCCTGCAGCAGGTTGCGCATCTTGAACGTCTCCTCCAGGTAGTGGTCCTGGTTCATGTCGATGGTCTGGAGGGCCTCGCCGCGCGTGAACACGATCGCGTGGTTCTGGTTCTCGGGCTTGCCCTCGCCCAGCTTGGGCTGCCCAGGGAGCATGATGCGGTAGATCTCCTACGGGAAAAGGTGGGGAGACAGGTCAGCATTTAGTCCATTCAGCAGTGTAAGTGCTTTTCTGTACTTGAAAAAAATGACAAGTTACTATCAAAAAGGTGATACATCTTCTATACACTTTTCAGTCCGGAGACTACAAAGCTGCAATACTCTACTCGTAGATGGCCTTCAATTGTGCAATGAAAAAGATTTGTAGATGATTGGAAGAGAGTTACGCGGGCAATCGCCTGCGGGGAGCGGTATGCAGCTACGTCTGCCAGCGCACCGTTCAACGGCGTTTCGGTCTATAAATGACTTGAGCGTGAATGAAAGGGGTTGCCGGAGTCGAGAGAATTTTGGCTCACGTCCAAGGTGCGAGTGGACGGCGCAGTTTCGTGATTGATGCAGCGCGGCAGCAACACTTTCATCAAATGGATGTCGAGGTCCTTGAACCGAAGCTTCGTCGAACAGATGGTCTCAGCTTCAAAAAGATCGGCGTTCTATAATCACTCCTCGAGCATTCTGAAAGATGGTTTCGATTGCAGAGTGATATTCTCGACAGGTTGTTCAGACCCTGGAGCGGGAAGCTTGCTCACCTGCTCGAGCCCGTTCGCGTCAGCCTTCACCAGGACCGAGTAGTACTCCTTCCGCGTTTTGCCGTTCTCCTCGAGCTCCTTCTCGTCAATGTACGCAACGCGGAAGGCCTCGTTCCTGAGGTAAAGGATATGATATTGAGCTTGGAAGACCCGAATTGTGACGAACCTGAGCTTGATGAAACCCTTTTGGCTCACAGAGAACTAAGGCTGCCGCAAAAAGGTTGCCCGTGTTGATGAAACTGGTCCTTACACGCTGGTTGTAAGAAAGAAAGCAATTCAAGAAAAGCCCAATGACTGGAGCACTGGCTAAGAACTTGCAAACTTCGACGATTGGCGGCTCAGGTCTTTCCACAAAGGTCAATTTACGACTCGCCTAGAACCACGCAGGATCTTTCCTGAAGCGAAAACGGGGAAAAGACCACCGGCAGAATCTAGCCCCATAAAACGGTCTTTCTACATCTCTCAGGACAATCGGAGCGAGAACAGTGATTCCTCACTTCTTCATGAGCTCGAAGATGTCCACAGCCTCCTTCTGGTTCTTCCGCTTCTGCGTGCCGTAGATCTGGCAGGCCGCCACGTAGGTGAACTTCATGTCGGCGATTGCGTTGATCTGCGCCCACATGGAGCGCTGCACCTTCTTGTCCTCGTCGGACGCCTTTGTGACGGACAGGTACCCCTCCTCGATTTGCTGCGGGGTCGCCACGTCGAAGAAGGCCTGGAGCGCCAGCGCGCGCCGGTAGTACATCATACCGCGAACTGCGGGGAGGGAGCAAAATGGCCGTCATATTCCAGAAAATGGATGTTGACGGACAGTTCTGCTTCTGGAGGCGAATGCACCGGTGGTGAATCCTGCCGTGGACAGCGGGGAGTCAAGGGATTGGCAATGAAGTTCGGACATAGATGATATTTATAATACTGGGGGATAAGTCACGCGAACCTGCTGCGCACAAAGGTCGGGAACAGAGGAGGCAGTGAAAGCAAACCAGAAGAGCCAGCCTACACAGGATCTAACCGCAGTGATAAAGACGAACGATGCCATCGCTCCCAACTTCTCACACAAGATTGAAGGTGTACAAAGGAGACGGTTCCTGTTCGTTAAACGACTCGCAGAGAAACGAAAAACCCATTCCGCGCAAATCGGATCTCAGGAATCGAGTGCAACGTCAGTGCGACAGATCGTTGTTTTCCGCACCTGTGCGCGCCAGCGTCTGCCCCTTGTACGAGGCCCACAGCCGGATCTCCTTCCCGTCGTCCTTGGCGAGCGCCTCCTCCTCGTTCTTGCACTCGATCCGCTCCAAGAAGTTGGCCCACTCGTCGGGGTAGATCTTCTGGAGGTAGAAGAGCGTCGAGATGCCGTCCTCGTTCTCCTCGTACAGCTCCTTCTTCGAGTAGGTCACGATCTCGCTGTAATAGGGCGTCATGACGCTGCACGAGAATAAGAGCAACTTATGCATCACTGAACGTATCCAAATCTTCCAGCCAAGCTCGGTTCAAACATGGATGAAACTGTCTCCTGTTAAATAACCGTGACCGACACCTGCTTCATGGCAGCTAACTGTTAAGGAGGACAGCAGATTTTTTTCAACGATTCCGCTCTTACCAACGCTTCGGGTCCCGATCTGATGCTTGACAGGAATAAACTGTAGGTAGCCAGTCGGTCAAGAGCAAAGCCGAGAGCTCTGTCGATTCGAACCGGACGTCAGACTGTCGCACCTACTGAACCAAAAGGTTCTTTTGCGGGGGGGACTCGTAAGCGACGACTTGACGAAAACCAACATCCGGGCCGCCTAATTGCGACGCCACAAACGCCTTTGAAACGCACCTGAAGGAGACCATGTGCTTGACCTGCGGCGCCCGCGGCATGTTCATGAAGAGCGAGTTGGTGAAGAAAGAGATGCGGCGCCGCGCCTCAAGATTCGCAGGCACCTCCTGGGCGGCGTCCTTGATGGTGAGGAGCAGGTGGAAGCGCTTGATCTGCAGGTGGACCAAAAATAGTTACTTGAATTGGTCGAGGCCTGCTCAATGGCAAATTCAGGTGCGTGTCAGCCCGGGGTAAGCCAACAAAGTAATCTTAGGTCCCCTTTGGTACGGTGTAAATATGGACGACCCAGATGGACAATCAGTAACACGTAATTCCTCTACGCAATCTTTCAGGAAACAATGTGTAGACGACAAGTCGGAAGGCAAGGCAATGTCTCGACGACAAGTCGGAAAAGAAAATATCTGCAATTGCTCCGTCGCAAAAGCAACAGCCCAGCTTCTGTAGAAGTGGACACCGAATGACGGCAGACTTCTTCAGGTACGTTAAGCAATTGCTAGGCCTTTGACACCAAACACAACTGCTAAAGAAAAGCGGGAATCAACCTACCTGTTCCTCGAACACTGGGGTGAGCTGTGGCGGGTAGGCGACCGCGGGCTCCGGATGGAGGGTGGCAAACAGCTGGGAGGTCTTGCTCTTGGACAACGCACCACTGATCTCCAGTGCCTCTCTGCAACAGGGGAGAAAGAGTACGTCATTTCGCTGCCCTTCTTGCTGTCCTTCCGAGGATAATGTCAAGGCAATGATTTCAAAGAGCGCAGCCCTCTCAGCTGAGAATCTTAGCTGTCTGCAGAAAGCAGCAGGAGTCGTAAGCATCGCGCAAAGAATAAGGGCTCGTGCACCGAACGCGAGCAGCCTTGACAGCATTTGTGCACGTAGAACTTTTCACATCGTTGTCCACTCCCACCCCTTCGAGCACCAAACTTTCGTATCAAGCTTGAGGATCCGAAACGAGCAAGCTCCTCACCTGGCTTGATCAGACAGCATATCGCGCGTGACCACCTCGAACATGTCCTGCAGCACTCGGATGACCTTGCTGCGCAGCGCGGGGTCTGCTTTCATCTGCAGAGTAAGTCCAGAACGTGTGCTTCCTGATCTCAGACAAGCTTCCGCTATAGATTGGTGTGTCGACGCTCATACCAAGAGAAAGACTGCGCCCACAAGCTGCAGGGAGGGCGGCGTTCTGCGAGCAGTGATGGCAGAGAGTTCCGAGATGAGAGAGGTTTAGTCAACGGGTAGTCTCAGAATGTTCACAAGGGAAACGAATCTTGGAAGAATGATGCAGCAGATGAAGATCTACCTGGCGGAATGCCAAACTCTTGCTTGGATGGACCTCTCTTGGTCTTTTCGGAAAAGGAGACAAGTTGAGAAACTGGTATTTGGCGACTAACCAGCAGCTCGACCAGCTCGACCACTTTCTCGTGGAACTTGGGCAGCTTCTCCAGCCGGAAGGTCGAGACAAAGCCCTGCATCATGGTGCGCTCTGCCTCCTCGAAGAGAGCCGCAATGACCCTGTTAGAATAAGGAGCGGGTCAGCAACCCTAACAATACGTCCGTGGATTTACGGATGTAGAGGTCCTGGAATCCCAGCGCAATCTGGGAACAGAATATTGTTCATCGGTTTTGGATTCATAAGCAATCGCGCGGCTTCACCAAAAGCCAAACAAGACACCTTTGCAAGGGACGAAGCATGCAAGAAGACGTAAGCAATTCATTTTGCAGCGCTTCCTAACCAAGGATTCATTAACGACCATCTTGGAATAATCCCCATGCAGCATGTCTGTCCGTCTCACCCAACACAAGGAGAAGAAGATTCCTGTAAAACGCTGCAACATAGACAATTATAAGGGGACTGTTACTTTGTACTGCGACGAGTCCGGGGCGTTCGATTGCCACTCAATGTAGAAGACGGGTAAGAGCACCCACCACTTCTCCTGGGAGCCCACGATGAGGTCGTCGAAGAGGAACTTCAGGCTCGCATAGCACTCCTCCACCGCGCAGCGCATGTACTCGTCCGCTTTGATCTTGCGCCACAGCTCCGCATCGCTGCCGCTGTGCTCTGCAGCGGTCTTCACGGCCTTGTAGATCTGCAGGTAGAGGTAACATGGTATCAAGAGCCACGTAAAGCGCTCCACTCGAAATATATCCTTCGGGGCTGGCATTGAGAGTAGATAGCAAGCTCCGGCCTCCTCTCGTACTATTTCCGAAGTCCGTAGGATCCTCGTCAACCATCTTCGCAACAAAACTCTCCACGCACACTGCGTCCGTCATCCTAAACTTGGTTATCAGCCTTTTCAGAGGCTGAAGCCTGGTCCAAACGACCTTGCGAGCGATAAGACCTTGGAATTGGAGAAATTCCGACTCGCGAAGCGGGATCCACTAACCAACCATAGAAAAGTTGAGGGGGTTATAGTGTAGTACCTTCGATGCGAGGAGGAAAGGTGGCCACTGAACCACCTCGGAGCCGAGCTCGATGGCCGAGTACGGGACAAGCATCAGGTCGAATTCCCTGCATAGACAGCGGAGCAGATATCAGCAAACGTCATCTGCCAAGACACAGGAGGCTTCCATTTCACCACCACTACACGAAGGCAAAGAAAACCCTTCAGAAATATGTGTCTTGAGCCGGGACCCGAAATGAAGCAATGTTTTTGCACGCAGTTCTGCTTCTCAAAGGCTTGAGCGCCTCACCTGTTGCTGATCAGGTCCTCCTCGCGGAAGCTCGTGATCACCTCGTTCCAGAGCTGTGCAAACTTGGTCGCCTGCTCCTTGGTGTCGATCTGATACGGAAATAAAATTCGTCAGGGGGAGTTTCGTGAACGAGCCGAGCCGAAATGCTTTCAGCGTTATACCGCAACCTTGACCTCTTTCCCGGTTCTAGAGCGGACCAAAGAGCCATCTGAAGAGTCGTAACTCCAATGCCAAAGAATCGGAGCGTTCACGAGCATCAGTCATACCTGAGCGAAAGAGTTAAGACATCCACGACCCGACAGAAATCCAGCTCTGAACCACAGGACAGCGGTGACTCTTTGCAGCTTACCTTTCTGAACGACCTCGCCAAAGCGAACCTCCGGGGCGCCGCGACTGGGGCAGGGATGAGGTTGTCGTTAAACGCCCCGGGCAGGGAGCGGAAGCGGGACCGCAGCATGCCCAGCGTACGGATCTGCACAATGAAGCTGCTTTCGTGAAGCTGCTTTCGTCAGGCCAAATGAAAGTTTGTGAACGGAATTAGGTGGCAATTGATATCCCGCCTGTTGAGTGAACTGAGTGTTCGTGAGCTGAATCAAGTGTGAAACGCTGCCATGACCGCGTTGCAGCTAGATACAGCTTCAAGACCCATCCCAAAGAAGTGCGGGAAATTTCTCGCAAATGAGATACCATCGACAGTGCGTTAGGAGAGGTGGATGAATACAGGTCGCTTACCTCTCCTAGCCGCTGGAAGGCGCCGTATGTCCCGCCCACAATGGTCGAGAAGATGGCGTACCAGATCTGCGTGTCTAGGAAGTAGACTATGATCACAGGCGCCCAGATGGCCACAATGGCCCCAGCGTTATGATTGCCTGCGGGGAAACGCAAAATAGATCAGAAGAGACAGAAAAGCGGAGCCAAGCTGTCCACCTTCAATCGCGTGCGGGGCTTGGCACTAGACGAGAGTAGGCCGACTCGGATCAGCGGATCTCGCAGGTCGCTTCTTGCAGGGAGAATGCAGGCACAGAGCGACGACGGCTTACATCCTGGACAGATTTCCGCCCACTGGTAGTACAGCTTTGTGTTGCTCGCGATGGCCCGCGTAGGCGTTACCAACGGCTTGATCTGCACCACAATCAAAAGATCAGTGATTTTCAAGAACCTTGGCAAGGCTGCCAAAAACTCGCCATAAACGTTCAGGTTCTGGAGCATGTGCTCCAACCGTGAACCACAACCAGGGGGAACTGAGCCCTCACAAATGAACGAAGATCGACAGTATCGCTTTGTAATGGCCTGACGATCAGATCAAGAAGCTGTTCAAAGGCAGGTGCTGCCCGCAGGCAATGGCTAAGGACGTACCTGTAGGTTGTAGCTGAAGAGCGTCTTGCAGGTGAGTAGCGCGACCCAGAAGAGGCTGTACTTCGCGAGAGACCAGGTGCTCTCGTGCATGCCTCGGCCCACGTAGAGGCTCGTCTGTGAAGGGAATAAAAGATAAAATAAGCGGATGATGAGCGGAACTGAGAGTTATGATTATGAACAATCGAGGGAGAAGTAGAGCGATAGAAGATGAGAAATGAGCTCACTCCTCGATTCCACTGCAGCAATGAGCAGAAGAGACGGTCAAGATACATGGCCGAACTTAGCCCTTCTCGCAGGCTATAACACGCACTTGCTCAGCCATCAAACTCTTTGGCATGTTCCAGAGCGAATAGACGTAGTACCTGCGACCACCAGAGACTGAGACGGACGATCTTCCAGTTGGACATCTCCAGCTGGCGCTTGATGAGGGGGAAGCAGAAGAGAATCAGAGCGAGGGCGTTCGGCAGCAGGTAGATGGCACACACGGAAATGTACAGGGCCCGGCTGTTGAAATCCTGGAGGAGCAGGCCCTTCAGATCCTTGGCAAAGCCGCCTGCAGGAGACGAGCCGAAAGTCGCGTTTGTACTTACATCTCAAAATCGGATCGAACTCGTCGCAAATTGAGCTCGAGGCTGTCGTCAATGTCTACAGTGCAGCCGGATACACCTTCACGGGCGCAACCGTGGCACTAAAGTCTTGAAAATTTGCAGTGAGCGAGGAGGAACATCAACACGTGCTGTGAAGGAGCAGCTGAGACGGGACCTTATAGAGGGTATGGCGAACGTAAGATTGACTCCCACCTGGATTATCCCACATGTGCACGTAAAGGACGACGAACAGGATGAACCAGACCAAAGCCACCACCAGCTTGCTGAGGAGGCGAATCATAGTCGAGCCCTTCATCGTCCTGTAAAGCCCCAGGCTGAACCAGACATCCAGAACAGCTGCAATGGAGATCGAGAATCGAGTGTAAAAATCACGTCACTTCACGTCAGCTATTGACTTGAGTTGATAGTCATACAGGTTTTGGTTGCGAAAAGCAGTAGAACGTTGCATTATCACCGGCGCGAAAGCTCGTAATGAACCAAAGAACACGCTGTGCATAATGTTTTTGCCACGAGTGAAGCGCTGCTAGGTTTCGACTGGCCCACCTTGGAGGAGGCGGAGGATGGAAGCCGTGATGAAGACGCTGATGATCTTCTTGAACTCGTCCATGTCCGTGAAGAAGCTGTACCACTTCGGGCTGTAGGCGATGATGATCAGAGCCTGCATGCGAGGAGTCGTCAGCGTTTGCCAAGGCTCTTTGTCAGAGCTGATCTCCGCTCCCCGCCATAAATCTAAGCAGTTGACCTTTCTCAGCGAGGTCGGACGAGGCACTAGAATTCTGCAAATATACGTTAGCAGCGGTTTTTCATTCAATGAACTTTTAACGTCGCTTTCGATCGACTACAGGGTAATGCTTAAAGCGACGGCTTCCTAAAGAGCATGAAAGGCTTCGTATACAGCAGTGAGACTGCTCCTCAGAACGATACCTGCAAGAGCAGGATGAAGAAGGTCCACATCCGGTCCCAGCTGCGCCAGAGGTGCCAGAAGGAGCGGTACTCCACGAAGAACGCCTTGCGCTCCCTCTGCTTCCCCTTGGGCACCACCTGCTTGACCGCGGCGCCGCGGCCCTTGAGCGGCTCCGGAGCGACGAAGAAGTTGGAGTCCAGCTTGAGGGGCCAGCCGAGGGTGAAGCACCTCTCCTTCCTGTTGCAGACGAGAAGAAGCTCAAAGTCCAGCTTGAGGGTCCAGCCGTGTACGAAGCACTTCTCCTTTCTCTTGCTAACAAAGACAAGAATGAAGATCAAGGGGACCCTGGCTTTGTCTGTTCTGTGGCAGGAGTGACAGAAGTATGTGCGCTGTCCATTACAGCTTCGAGAATGGATTCGGAACGGCCAATTGTTTCTGCGACTCGGACTTCGACATAAGTGCAGGCTGATTGCTTTTAGCTTCGTGCGAATCTCTTCTTCTGGGAAAGACTACAACCAAGTATGAAGGCCGGCATGTTGAAGAGTCATATGGCTTCGTTCAACCACATGCTTTGGCCCAAGCAACGTTGCCCATGGATTGAACTTGAGCGCTGCAACCTTCGAAGAAGCGAAGCTATATCAATGGAGACCAATTCAAGCGACGGAGTACTTGCCAGAAGAACTCGTTGATGTCATCGTAGTTGCGCCAATTCTCGTGAGGCGCTTTGCCACCGCCGTTGTTCTCGGACTCCTGCGGATGTTTTCGCAAAGTTAAGGTAACACACCCTTCACAAGAGCACGAAGTTCAATCTGAGCGGTCTGCGCAGACTGGCAATCAGAGTTGCACTAACCATTCGCATCTGGGGGGCGGTGCAGAGCACCTGTCCGAAGGTACATTGCTTTTTCGCTCCGTCCTAAGCAGTAAATAAGCATATCAAGACCATTTTGCAGGCCTTGCAAAGTTGTATGAAGGCACCCACCTTTCGGATAACCTCGTAGATCGGGATCACCACGTTCATCAAGAAGGCCTTGTCGCTGCCCCCAAAGCCTGGACCAGGATACTCTGGCCGCACATTCTGGCCTGTAGCAAGGCTGACGTTGCCTCCCAGCATCCCAATGACTTCCCAGGCCATCTGCATGAGCAGAAACGAATGACTCGATGCTGAAGATGTGCTCGTGTTTTTAACGGAAGAAGAACTCAGAAGCTGGCAGCATGCACCCCTGCAAATGAAGAGCATCAAAGCAAGGTTGTCGTATATCAACAACTGCAGCTCATCAGCGGACCCCTACAGAAGCAACGCTGTATTCGAAGGATCTGAAAACGAGCAACTAAGGTTGCGTATTCACATTGTGGAAGATGTAGGCGAGGCACTCGGGCATGAAACGGAGGTTGCCAGCCTCTCCCCAGATGAGAAGGAACAGGGCAGTGTAGAGAATCTGCCTCTGGGGGACCTCTTCAGGGGCGTTGGGCAAGCTGTAACAGCAACAAAAAGATGTAAGTGTTGCGAAATTGATACAAAGATGCGGACATACTTAGACGCTTCTGTGTTGACAATACATCGCAGCTTAGAATATGTTTCCTGCCTAGGTTTCAAACACTAACGCTGAGTCGCTGATCAGAAGACCGCAAGAAACCTACGTCAGGTTCTTCTTCCGGTGGAGGAACTTGCACCACTGCTTGTAGTTCTTGGACACCTTGTTCATGACCTCTTTGATTGCGCGTCCATCCAGCTGCACACAAAACGATAAGAACGTTGTAGAGCTGCCAACGACGAACTGCAAGTGAAGCGCGAGGGAGGCAGCCAGCAATCCACCAGCGAGGCTAATCAGAATGATTCTAGAAGAGAGCGGCAAGGTAGGAATGCAGGGTGCAACCATCTGAAGCAGTCCATTAGTAGAGCAGACTTGCAGAAGTCCGAAAACCTTGGAGACGAAAAATAGGACACACTCACAGGCCCACTTGGATCTGGAGGAGGTTTCCGCAGTCTCGCATGCGTATTGGCCAACAAAAGAATCAGGTGCTCGCGCTGGTTTCGAACATTGTCTTTCTGCAGGTTTGAAGAGAGAAGCAGTGATGTCAGAGTGCTTTCTTGCAGAGGACATCAGTGGAGCCGACCTGCCTTAATGGAGCAGCTAAGGATGCAGAAAACTGCCGAGGTTTATGAAGAGCCACCTGGAAGACAATCAAGTAGAGCAGTCTCAAATCATGGATGCAGAAGCAATTGATTCTTTTGGGTACCAACCTGAAAGCCGAAGGTCAACTCGAGCCAGTCGAGGATGTCCCAATCTGGTGCCTGGCGGTTGGCACGGCGGGCACCAGAAGGTGCAGGCAAACCGCCAATCTGCTTCAGGGCATCCACTGCAACCCGTATCTGTGCAAAAACGGAGGTCAACCGTTGTAAGTCTTATGTTCTGTTACGCAGAGCGTCACTTGGATCCAAATCCTCACGGGCTGCTTTTACCCTTCCATGTAGAGCACAACAATACCGCGCCACACTTGGGAATCTAACCAGCCTTTGCGTATCTGTCTCCAAGTTGCAAAAAGCACGTTCCCCCTACCTCAGGCAGTTGCATGAGAGCAAGGGACGCCCCTGCTGCATCCAGGGGCAGGATGTTGTACGGGATGATTTCGGCAGCCTTTTCTTGCAACTTCTGGCCAGCCTCGAGGTCTTCAGGAGCCACCCTCTCCTCTGGCTTAGCCTTCCTGTCCAACGCACACAGCACCTCGAAGAGGACACTTGTAGTATGGTATGCCTGTGCCAAAGCTGCCCTGCAATGACACAACAAGAGAAAAATGTCAGGAAACCAGCAGCCACTTTGCTGCAGAAAGGGCCTTGACTCTGCATGAGCTAAGGACTCTAGTATCCTCAAATGGCCTGTAGAGACAAAAAAGCAAAGAGTCGATTGAATGGAGTCATCGTTCTGATCCCCGTCCCTTTCACCAAAATGGCCTCCCAAGGACAAAAAGTAGGAAAAGCAGAACCAGGCGGAAAAATGGTTACCTATGGTTTCATTTCACAACCGACCGTTTACCGGTACGGGTAAACAAGTTTGTGGTAATTAGGGCTTTTGAGTGCTAGAAGCAGCCCTATGAAAGTTTCAGAGCGTTAAACAACAACCCAACCTAAGGTTATGAGATAGACCTGCTATGTTCCGCATAACAGGTTCTCACTTAGGCTACTTACCTATCGGCATATTCATCGTCCAGGGCTTTGAGATAGCTGTCATAGCATTCCTTGTAAAAGCTCTGGATCTCTCGAAGGTCTGTGCTTCGCACGCGGGCCTTAAGCGACGGGCCATTTTCCTGCAGATTGCCAAACAGCAATCAAGCCAGTGTTAGACAATCGAGCTGCTGCATAACCACATTCACACCTCTCGCTGCAAGAGACCTTCTAAGAGGGAAGTCATTCCTCAAAGTAGTAAACATTCAGTAGATGTGGCAAAGTACAGAACCCGGGACAACTTGAGTGCAGTGCTTTGACGATCCCGCACGTTCAAAGAGCTTTTGGGAGGACAGCGAGTGGTGCAGAAAAAGGCCATGTGACTGACCACCTCGAGCCTCTCTAAGAGGGCAGTCTTGAACTGCCTGACTCCTCTCCCACTTGAAGTCCTGTCCAGCTCATGTGCAGCTTCAAAGGCGTGGAAGCGGCCTGCAGTCACCCAAGTGAGACATGAGACCCTCATTGAGCTCTTTCAAACAGAAGACTTGCTTCCGTAGATATCTAATAAGGACCAAAAGCTTCAGAAAACCTCTGGGACACAAACATCTGTTCTGCAGTACTCAATCACACTTCGCTGGCAGGCAGCATCAAAAAGTCGCCTTTATATAAAGGAACTCACAAAGGTATGCCACCCGAGGACGGGCAGACTCAATCTCTTCTGCGGCCACCAGAAACCTCTCAATCCCTGCCAACGCCGGTGGCACCTGTCCCTCAGGGTTCCCCCATGTTTGAGGGGGGCGCGAAATGCTTGACACAACAGAAGTCGCCATGCTGACCGCCTGCAAAGATGACCGCACATACCCAATTGAGAATACCAAATTAGGGCATCTTTCAGGGGTCTTTCGAGAGATGTCAAATCAAGCAATGAGCTTCGCCAGAACAAGGCAACTTGAATTTTGCAAGGTCACAAAATCTAAAACCATTATGGACTACCAATGAAGCTCACCTTCTCTCAAAGTCCACTAGCACCTGGACCACGCCCAGATGTCGGCTTTTGCCACTGAACCTTTCTGATTAGTCTTCTGAGCAGATTAGGGGGATCTCTCTGGTTGGCAATTTCCCCCTCCGGTTGGCCAGGCAAAAGCTGATTCCTCATGCAGCAAATCAAACAAGAGCAGCTCCTGAGTCCTAAATTGACCCGTCCTTTGAGGCAGAGTGACAATTCAAGCCAGCAGGGCCTACAGATAACGGCTGCCGTACTGCTTCGACAGCCATGATGCATTCGCGTTTGAGCGCCACCATCAAGTCGAACGCAGCTTCAATTTGCACCTGCTTCGCAACTTCCACGCCGGGGGAAAAGTTAGGGTTCCCTTGAAGTTGAGCACTCGTGACTCGTGCTCATGTGCAGTGACCAGTCGTGCGTAGTCAGCGAGTGATTCAACGTCGAAGAAGAAAGCCTCCTATCAGATCCGACAAGAACCAAGCAACAAGCCTGTGTGGTGAGCCTGAAGAGTCTGTCGGATCGAACGGGGAGTTCTCACGTCGGCCTTGACGAAAAGGGCGAGGGCAGTGTGGCCATTCTCGATGGACGAGTTTCGAGTTTCAAGTTTCAACTTGACTGCTATCCAGTATTCGCCGTTCGGGCTTACCTGGCCGTCCGCTCTTCTTGCCAACTGAACTGTTGACGGCCGAGAAGCGGCCATGCTCAAGTTTTAACTTATCTAGAATTTGGTTGGACGGTCAGACGTGTACGTGTTGTCCGAGATCCAGACTTGCCCGGCAGGCTCCGACTCTGAGTATAAAGACTCGGCACAAGCTAGAGTCTGAGGCTGGATGCAAGCATGCTGGCTTGATGGAAAGGAATTGATGACTGTCAGAGCGGGGTCATGCAAGGAGAATCAGTAATTTGGGGACCGGGACCGGGGAGCTGTTGGAAGGGCTGACGTGGCGAGGTTTAGGATTTTGACCCTGGGCTTTAAGATCAATGATTGGTCAAAAGAAGGCCTAGCCCAGGGGTTTGCCCCTCAACCCCGCCACGTCAGCCCTTCCTACAGCTCCCCGGCCCTGGTCCTCAAATTACTGATTCTCCTTGACCCCGCTCTGTCAGTGTCGGTTATGACCCAAGAGTACTACCCCGGTTAGTGGTAGAAATGGAAAGACATCCAGCCCGGTCTCAGAACCAGGACTCCTGTGGGCCCCTACGGGAGGGGAAGGCCAGGAAAGTGTCCCGGTGCAGAGCCCCCGAGTCCTCGACGGTCCAATTCAGATCCCAACCGGCCAGGCTAGAACCCCTGGTTAAGTTGCTCATATTGTATATTAAACCCTGACAGTTCCGACTCGTCCGTACTGCCGTACTGCCGAGGTTAATATTAGTGTAACCCCTGAGTCAAACAAAACGAAAAGGTTACAAAGCAATTTGAAAACTTTCAGGAGAGCGTCATGGTCAAAGTTCACGTCGCAGAAGGAAACGCTTCGCTCCCGGTTCCATACGGAGGACCCGGTTAGGGTTAGGGTTTTGTTGGCGGGGCTGCCACACGCAATCAGGCTCAGGTTCAAGCACGGCTTGACCATGCAGGTGGTCCGACCTTCACATGACGCTGATCAAACGCGAAGGAAGGCGCGCTGCGTGTGCTTGGCAATGTAGTGTTTGGATTCTTAACTGGCCAGATGCTTTGAGGCGAGACAATGCCATGCAAGAGGGTCGCTTTCATTGCTCATCCATGGTGTTCAGCAGCAGAAGGAAAACGTTGTTGAAGATTGCCAGGTGCAGGCAAGAGGCAAAGAAGATGGGAAAAAGTGGCAAAGCTTGCTTTTCAAGGTATATCCAGCAGATTCACTGGGCACAGCACCACCTTGCCTTCATGCAAATGCATGCAGGTTCACACCCAATGTGGATTGCCTGATAATAAAGGTGAAAGACTGGGGGATGCAAAGTGGTTCTGACCTGTGCACCTGATGCAGGTGAGTGCAGAAGAGATTAAATGGATTTCGTGGCCGTTCAGACTTTTTGTTGCTTACACAGGGTCAGAACATCTTTCCCTTGAACCCTTTGCTGCTAATCAGCTCGTCTATTCAAACAGTTATAAGCAGTTGTGAACATTCAGACTGCTGATGCATCAAGATTTGAACCAAATCAACTTTCATGGAACAACAACCAGCAGATCAACACTGTCATCTACTGTCTCCTCCCTGGCGTTGGATCCTAGTGCCGAAGCCTGGAGGGTTTCAGGGTGTACATCATGTGTGATTGAAAGTATTTTTAGCACTTACAGGGGACATGCAAGTTTCTCATCGAAACCAGATCAGAAGATAGGCACGCTTGCATTGATTTAGCAAGCTGTTTGGAATTGATTCAGCAAGCTGTTTGGCAAAAGCTTCAAACCTGGGAACAACGGAGGCTCTGTCAAATGAAGGTCGTGTTTGATGCATCAGAATGCTCGCTAAGCTAGACTCCTTAGAGAAAAAGGTTGCTTCTTGAACTTGTCGTTGCCACGCTTCAGATTTTTGGTGGGCTGAAGCGTAAGAAAGATAAACCTGCCCGCGGACGATTACAAGCTGTCATATTCCCAGACCCTGTTCTCTTGTTGTAAGATGCGGCAGCTGTCAGGGTTGGAGCGCTGGAGCGTGCGTGACAAGAGGCCGTCCACTCTTTAGCATCTAAAGCATAACGGGCCAGCCCGGATCAACAACGGAGGAGGCGAAACCCACTTTTGTGGTAAGCTCCAGACGCTACTGTGAGCTTTGGAGCTGATAAGGCCCCATTTTAAGCAGACGATGTGCATTATCATCAGCGCCTAGGTCATCCAATGAAGGGCTTGCAAGTATTGGTAGCCTATTCTGACGTTGCCTATCCTTCGCTTGTTCTCATGCAAACCAATGTAAATAGTAGAGCTCAAAGTAATGTAAGCGATCATTGGCGAAAGGGAGGGCTGATGATGATCGAGCTGCGGGTTGCAGGTCGTCGCAGAAGTCCCGCAAAGTAAACCAATGCTGCTAAGCACTGCTGCTAGCAGCTCTGGCCGCGCTTCTCTGTCTGTGTGTCAGGGTGAACACAAAAAAAAATAGTCTTTGCACCTTATTCGAGTTTAGGAGTTCTTGAAAGCAAACGAGCTACGAAAGGACAGCCGATAAGCATCACGTATGATCGAAGCATTGAGAACGCTTGCTCTTGTACCTTCAGGCAGGTTCCTCCTGTGATCTGACATCTGCCCCGGTTGGTCGGATGGACAGACGTTTTGCGGCTTGACTAGGCCTCGTGCGTACCAACAGCATTATCTGGACGAGCACACCCTCACGAAGGAATTTCAGAGCTTCGCTGATTGAATACAGGTTCCTTCTTAGATACTGGGAGGCCGCATTTCACCAAAACATGTAGAAAGTTTCTTTGCAGGGCGACACTCAAATGTGAGGATAAGAAAGCTGGGGGAGAGAAGGAACCGGCTCCATTGCAATTGTAGAGCGCCGTGGTAAGCTTATGAATTTCTGACGGGATGGAGAATATTGTGAGGCTTCATTCACGGATCTGGTCGAATAGCAATAGAACGACCGAGTAAAAAGGAATTTGAGTGTAAAACTTTGCTGGGTTGGTCGCTCGTTTGGTAATATATGATATGATTTGCGAACCGCGGCGGACACGTTGCGTTTCTTTGCAAGATGGGCACGCACCAGCTCTCGATTTCATATCTTTCGGCCTTGGTGCCATTGACAGTGTTTTTGATTCAACATGCATCAGAAGCACCTCTTTTCCAACCAAGAGCATCAGCGTTCGCACACCATTGACTCTGTGCAGTCTGCCCGCAGCCAGCTGCAATGAGCCTCAGCCGTACGGACAAGGAGACGTGGAACAGAGACCGGAAGGTAAGACTCGGGCCTTTCAAGCCAGGATCGAAAGATTGAATGCTGGTCAACTGAGTCGACCCAACAGCGGAAGTTCTGCCCGAACGGATAGAAACGATGCTTCAATAAGGTGACCGCGTGTGTTCTGAAGGGTCCCTCACATGAATTGCAATTGTGCACATGCAGCAAAGAAAAGCGAAGAAAAAGCATGTTGAGCCCCGTAAGGTGAGCATCTTGAGCAGCATTGAGTGATTACTTGTTGATCACCTGATCGAGCACATGAGGCACATCGTTGTGGGTCACCGCATTGACCAGCATTTGCGGACGCGCAGAACCGAATCGGTTGAAGACATGGCGCAAAGTGAAGCCTTCACTGTCAGCTCGAAACCTTCTCGACGAAACCTCTTTGATTCTTCTCGCAGCGGAGCGGCCGGGTGACTGCCGGAATGACTAAAACAGAATGCGGCTGCTAAGAAGCACGTCGGGCCGTCAGCTGTCGGCGGTGAGCTTGTTCTCAGATGCTGACGTAGTAGCCTTTCATAGAAAGCGGACCGTTGCTTCGACAAACCCTCGTCTACCCATTAACAAGTGCGACGTACGTCAGTGAGGAGTTAAAATGGCTCAGTTCCTATGGTCGACTCGTTTTCCTCAAGTATCTCTTTTGAAGCCTCTTCATTCCAGTCTATCACAACCCTTGCTTCATTTTAGCCCTCACTGAATGCGTACAATCTAGAAAAGCGGGGTCGTGATCTCGTGGACTCGCAAGAAGTAAGTCACGATTCACTGCTAGAATTGAGTTTGCGCTCGTTGGCCGGACAACGTTCGAGAGCGTGTTCGTCTCGACCACGGCTTTGCTCATACATGTTCAACAATGAACGGCGAGATGAGAAGATCTCGGCTGCAGCAGCGCTCACTTGAGCAATCATCTTCGAGCAGATTTGTCTCCTCACCAAAGCTTCAATCGTCCTGATTGCAGGTGACCTCCAAGCAAGCGAAGGCGAGCCGGAAGTCAAGGGTAACGCTGCTTATCGGAGACGTGGTAAGCAGTCGATGTCATTTGCAGATCCATCACCACCATCTGAGGAATAGCGGGGCTTTATCCATTTCAAAACCCAGAATTTGTTGCGGCTGTCCTTGTGAGTACGGTTCCTGTGCTTGCAGCAACTTCTCAGGAAAATTCTGGAAGCAGCGTCCTTTCCTTCGAATCGTTTCTTTCTAACGGTGAAGCATGGGGTCGTTGGACATTGGATACTTGTGGCTGGTTTTCGTCAGTCAGATCCTGGGCCTGCCTAATCAACCTTGTGACAAAACAGCGTCCATACTTCCGCTCAAGTTTTCGGAAGCAGCATCCGAACACAGAGAACTTTATTTACGGTGCCTTGCAGCCTGTCAGGGCCGCTTAAGTCATCTACACCAAGTCAAGCGATCTAGTCAACGGCGGGCCTCTGGGACACAAGCACCTCGGGGTCATCGTCGAATCGACTGACACGTCGCAAGCCCGGCGGAATGTGCCCAAGGGCCACACCGCAGCGGAACCCACAAACGGCGAGAGCACGTTGACGGTAGGAGATCTGCTGGTGACGACCGACGTCATCGAATGGCCCAAGAAGCATGTCGTCGAGATCCTGGCGCCAATTCGAGGGAAGCCTCGAAATGGCGTCAAGTGAGAGTGCAGGTAAGTCAAAGATTTTTTTCACCGGAGTCCGTTTTCGTGAATCACTTGAAAGTAGAGCATTTGAATTTACCTTGGGCCCCGCAGTCGATGCAGCTCCAGACTGCCATCGGCTTGCTCACTTGATGTTCAAAAAGCCTTTTCGCTTGCCGGTACAGGGGAACATATGATTCGCTTTACGCTGCCATTCTATTACGCCGCTACCAGCCTGCGACCATTTTCGACAAATCTCTCTTTGTTATCCGAGGTCGTCTCGCTTGTTGTCGCATCCAACCAAAACAAGGTGGCTTCTTGTGGTATACAGTGTGCTGTGTATTAGGCAAATTGCTTCTGGAGGTTCGACTGAATCTGTCGCTGGTACACGAGCGCTTGCTGACGTCACGTTTGCTTTCGTGGTGTTGGGTAGCGAGCAGCCGGTGGCTGTAGATTTTGTGGGACGCGTCCAGGTTGCGCCCCTCCCGCGCACGCGCAGATTTGGGAGAGCTCGACCAAGATTATTCTTGTGTGTTCGCGGTTGCTGACGTCATTTTCGTTTGCGCAATCCTGCGAGCGCAAGCGGCCAATGGCCGTGGACGAGAACGTCTTCTTGGAGCGCGTCCCTTCCTCACGCGCGCAAACACGGGAGAGTTTGACCAAAGCCACTGGCTGTCATCTCGCCCCTGCTGACGTCATCTCCGCTTGCGCAGTTCTGCAATCGTGAGCAGCCGGTGCCGTGGAGCAGGACGTCTACTCGGGTCGCGCCCCTCTCGCGCGCGCGCAAACACGGGCTGGCTCGACTCTATTACTTTCGCCTTTGCTGACGTCATATTCGTTCTCGCAGTTCTGCTGGCGCGAGCCGCGCGCGGCTGTGAAGCAGACTCGCAACTGGTATTCATGCCGCGCCCCTTTCGCATGCGCGCGAGACACGGTGAGATTCCAATAAAGCGGCTGTTGACATGCATGTTTGCTCGCGCAGTATTGAAAGGCCGGCGAGCAGAAGTTGGTTAAGCGGAACGTCTTCCAGATAATGCGTACAGGTCGCGCCCTCCCGCACGCGCACGAAACTTTGTATATATCGGTCGTCAGACGTGCATTGATTGCTCTGGAGTGCAAACTCATCATTTCATTCTGCAGTTTGGTACACCAATGATTGCGGATCGCGAGGTGTGGGACCTGACCATCAACAAGGATCAGAAAGTAGAGCACCATGTCCTTAGAAGAGCAAGGCATGTGGCAAGAAGTTGATCAGGCGAGGTCAAGAACAAGGACGTGAAGAGTGTCCAGTACAGTGTCCAGTGTATAGTAATTACGAGCTTATGGTCCGCGCTAGCTGTAGGCCCCTCTTCGTGTAGATGCCTCGAATGATCAGGGTCATTAGAATCATAAGAGTCTACTATAGGCGCACCCTATAGTAGATAGAACATTCCGCCAGGTAGGACTACGGTAGCGCACTTAATAACACCTGACTCCGTCTGATCCTGGTTTGAGGTTCCTAGCGGTCTTAATTTGCGCGTTTTCGGTACGTTCCGACCTTAAAAACCGGACATTTCAGCCAAGATCGTCCTTAATTTAGCATGTGGATTTAGAGCGGCTGCGCCCTTAAAGCGATGCTGTTTTAAGAGCGCCGTCGCGCGGTCTGCTTCCGGACTATGTTTAAGACCGGCGCTGCTCTCAAAACGGCCGCTCTTAATTCGTGTCCAGATTTATAGTGAGCTAGCTAGCTAGGCCATGCATGGACACCGTACCAAGGCTAGGCCATCTATGGTGATGGGAGCCCAAATCAGGGCCCAAGTTGCAATCCGGTCCGTTAAAAAAAGACTCAGATGCACGAAGTCACTCTGCAATTCTGGGGCTTTGAAATTGAACGCCCACTTTAAGCTCTGTACCTCACATGAATGCATCCGACCATGTACCCTAGTTCTCATGAGCCTTAACCATATCCACGCAATTACAAGTGTTATGTTAGTCGATCGATTCTATTGTTCACGAGCCTCCCAGCTAGTATGCCAGACTCGACTTATAATATACCTTGTCCTCCAGTGCAGATCAAGAAGCTACCGTCACACGTGATGGCAATCTTTGCCCACTGTTTGTGTGCTGCCCGCCATGTTTAGCCCACAATTATGGACGAACTACAGAATCCAACGGTTCATTCTAGCTCACCTTGAACTACATTTCTCGATTAGTGTTCCTATCCGTGCAAGCTCTATCATAGACTACAATTAGACGCCAGGTCTTCAATGAATTGTATTATTTGCAGGACACTGCAAAGAATCGGGCCAATTTGGCCATCAAGAATGGGTCGACTTTGCCGACTACCCCCAGGAAGCTTCTCCAAAAGCAGAGGGCTGAAAAGTGATCCTTCTAGTTTGGCTTCCCGCAATTAATTAGCAGGCAGCATGCTGAGCTCCCTTTGACTTGCTTCCGAGCGCAGGGCCTTGCCGGCCCTTCAGAAGCAACGGGCTTTGACGCTGTTAGGCGGGACCTCAAACTGATCCCAGTCCAGCTGGCTCGAGGTTTCGAAGAGCGACTCGGAGGTCTCGAGGTCGAAGCTGGCGAAGAACACTTGGGCGGGGTCTCCTTCGCAAGCAGGCACGTCCCATGTCTTGCTCAGCGGCTTGATGTCCGGATCGAAGATCTCGGAGCACAGAGCGCTAGTGGGGGTGATCGGATCGTAGTCGTTGTGGCGCGCCCTTTTCGTTTCCTGAGAGAGGGACGCCGAGCAGACAATATTGGCAACAAGCAACTTTTTGCAGAAGTGGAGGTGGCACAGTCCACCACATGCTACCTTGCAAGCGTGAGGTTACAAAGATCAAGTCGGTTACAAAAGCGGACACTGCATGTGTTAATGTATTGAAGAGACCTGCTGGCCCCAATTCTTTTCTGTCCCCAAATTTCTGGGAGTGGGATGATTTGATCACACTGCCCAAGCTTGAATGGGGCTAGAATGACCGGACACGGCAAATTGGTCAACTCGATCAGACCGACTCCTATGCAATACTGGCCGTGAGCTCTACATGACTGAGCGGGGACAAGGAGAATCGGTACCGGACGGAAGCTAAGGCTAGGTGCTGTTGGAACCCCCAATAGTGACGTCAGCTTCAGGCTGCCATATCTTTTTGTCTACTATCGGCCGTTCAAATGTCAGATATACAGCATCCAACGGCTTGGGATGCGAATTGAAAACCCTAACTCGGGATGCAGGCAATGTCACATCGCAGCCGTCGGCTGACCACTTCTACAGGATTCGACGCTTCAGAACCAGAGCGGTCGAAGTTTGGGTTGACATAACTGCAAACCCAACAGGCCCCAGCCTTAGCTTCCGTCCGGTACCGATTCTCCTTGTCCCCGCTCTGACTGGCTGAGGACCTGCCCTAACACCTAAGCTCATTGGTCTGGGACTGTTGAAAGCTGAGTGGGCCCAGACTCAAGTCTTTGAAAGGCGTGCAGTCAAACACAAGACTGATTGTCGGGGAGCTGAAGCACGAAAACAGGATTGAAGGCGGAATATTTACCTGGCTAAGCAGCTCGGACCTCTCCGGAATCTCGATGCAGTTGGATTGTACAAAAGTGTGGTACTCCATAGGTACCACACTCTTCCGTTTCTGGAATTGTCAGAAAAAGGAGAAGCTATCAATATCAAACGGACAAGATCGCGTTACTGTGGGGGGTGATGAATCAAAAGGATACTTCATGACTGTGGGATCACGGAGTTACACTAGAAACCAACAATTTCCTGTACCTGTGTGAACCCGCATGACCGACACACGTTGAGAGTAGACAAACTACGCTTCATCTCGATTCTGAAAAAGCTGAGGCGAGCCTCTGGGTAAGTTGAGAAGCTTTCTGCAATCATTTTGGCCAGTGTGGAGGTCGTCATCTTGCTCAAATGAACGAGCAACGTAGGGGTTGCTCTCTTGCTGCCAACAACAGCACAGTTATTAATTAACATAGGAGATGGATGAAATCCTTTCACTATCCTTTCTTGTGCAATTGGAAGTCTCTGAAGATTGGACTGTCCAGAAGTAAGTCCCGTGAGGGCCCTGCCAACCTTGAGGCAGATGGTGCCTGGCATCAATTCAAGAACACTCGGTTTCAACGTGCAACTTGACGCTTAGTCTCAACGGACGAGGTTTAAGAAAAGCAGTAGTATCTAAATACTGCCAGATTCAAACTTGTCAGGCTATATGTCCAGATCAGCTTGTTCGTAGAACTGACAGGGCACAATGTCTTCCCACGATCTGAAGACCGAGAAGAAACAGGCTCTGCCATACCACGACTCTCAAAAACTGTGATGAGTTCCACCCTTTGAAGAAAGAACCAGGTGCAACATTGATGCCTCACCCTTCGTGACCGGAGGTCTGCTCGCGTCGTCTGGTCTTGCATCAAGGAAAGCCTGATGCGCTCCAACGCTTGGACACGTGCTCTTGTGCCGCTCAACTGGGACTGTGAGCAAAAAATAATGACACAATCAAAAAGGTGCAAAATGCTTAGGTAAGAAACACGAGACAGCGTTACAGCAGTACAACAACACATTGGACCTTTTGAAACAATCAAGTATCTAGAAGGCAAAACTCTTCTCCTGACATGTACATTCAGGCGCCAGTCAAATTATAGTCAATTTTATCAAGGAACATGAGAGCAACTAGAGTCGGTTTGAAAGCCCTTTCCTAGATAAACAGTGTGCAAGAACACCCACCTGTAAAGTAACTATCTGCTGTTGCAAAAGGGCAACTGCAGCGACGCACCCGTACACTGGGTCTATAGTCCTGCAATGTTGCAGGAAGTGGAACACAATCAGGTACTCTTCAGCCAGATCTGAATGGAAGTGCACAGGACTGGGCACAAACGTTGTTTCGGACCTTTTTCAACAGCGAAATAGCCCAAATCTACAGAATCCTGCAACAGTCCACCGCATTGGAACCTCTCTACAGACTTGTCAAAGATCCTGGGTTGGATACTCCATGTAATCCAAGTCCATGCCTGACCCCTTCCAGCAAAGGTGTTGATTACTGTCAGGTCATGCACTCCTGGTCCAATCACCTGTCTTGCATGGTGGTACCCCTGCCCTGTCCTGCTTCTTCATCGAAACTGAATGTACGAGACTCTGTACTCGCATGATATGGCTCACCTTGCTTCAGCTTCATATGTGAGACTCTTGACTGTGTTGGTCCGGTCGGCAACAGGCACTCTACTGAGGAACTTCCCAATGTTATGAGCCCCGTAGCTGTACAAGAAGAAGGATTGTCAAGACTTTCTAATAGGGGACAAGGGAGTAGATTGAACAGCCTCTTATGAAAGACTTTGAATCTGCCTGAGCCCTGGCTTACCACAGCAGCTTAGCCTGAACATACTCTAAGCAGAAACTACTGAGCTGAGATAGCTCTGAGAACCTGAGATTGATGATCCTGATGTTCTGAGATTAAGAATCAAGAGAGCACCTCTTAATAGTTCCTTTGTCTACCAACTCTGAGAAACTCAAACTCCAGGGCAGCTTTGCTCAAAGATGTAAGCTGGAAGAAGAACCACCTCAGAGCCTCTCGCTCAATTGGAAGTGGAAAACATGAGGAGGAAACCGTAAGCACAGAGGACCAATAAAGTAGGCTACTGCAAAGTGAGATACAGAGATCAGGAAAGGGCTGAAAGCTTCTTGGGGAAACAAGGCGGGTTGGAGACAGTACACGGAAAGTGCTCAAAATAAGTGCCTCAGCAGGATGATTGCCCCTTCAAGCTGGCTTCAAAACTCCCTAGATCACATTTGCACAAGCGATCGAGTTCCAATTAACTTTCATGAACCACATAAACCTCCACAAAGGTCAATGCAGTCTCTCCCGCAATCCAACCTGACGACGGAACTAAAAGAGGAACTTCCAGTGCAGGTCTCAGTTGGCAACTCACATCTTGTGCAAGAGGACAAACTTCTCCCGCTCCTGCTGAGGAAAGTAGGGCGCAAAGATGCATTCCTGAGTGCATTTCCGGCGCAAAAACCTGCATGCTGCGCAGGGCGGCTGGTCACGGACAGCTACATCAGGGAGCGGAGTTGAACTTGGGAGTTCATCTGTCTGGGTGGCCATCTATGCGCCAAACAACCCCTCTACACTTTTGTTTCAATGAGGTTAACCTTTGCCAGCTAAAGCTCAAGCTTCTGCTCAACCCACGACGCTACTTGTATGGAGGTCTGGCATTTGCTGAAGTGTTGACTTGGTGGTTGCTTACAAGCAAGGACTAGCGACAAGTGACACACAGAAGTTGCTGAGGGAGGTGAGGAGCTTAATGAATGCGCTAGCAAATGAGTCAGCAGAATGATTCAGTGGTACGGGGGACGAACTTGGACTAAGAGTCTGGCTCCAGATTGTCAATCAGGTCTTCACTAGGAGAGCCCTGAGAGGTTTCTTAAGAGCAGTGAAAACGACAGCTAGGTACTCCAAGTAGGATCCCAGGCTACACATATGCAATGGGAACTTTGATTGGGCCTCCGGGTACGTGCAGCAAAATAGGTGACGGCCCAAAAGCGTCCCAGAGGTCAACCAACTGATTAGGCAAGAGTCAGGACGCCTGTAGTTCATGATGTCACGTCTGCCATCTGCAACCTATCATTGTCGTTTGTGGTGAGGTAGCCCTGACCTTGCCACTTGTTTCGTGTTTCTGGTCGTTACTTGGAGTCGTCCCCTGGCCTAGGTACTTTCAGGGAAGGCGGTAGGCCCCTAGTAGCTGGCCGTTCACAGGTCGGCTTGAACATGCCTACCGTACACATCAAAATTCTCCTGAGACTTGACAACTTACATTCTCAAAGCAACCGTTTTGTCCGCCTAACGCTTCCTTCTCAGGAACCACTAGCTGCCTCTGCTGAGCTGCACATCTTGCGGTAGACAGAGCTTTATTTACCGTAGGTGTACGTTCCACCCTGCTCGCATGCTGTGACAAGCTCGACCCTGCATACCGGTATGCGTTCCTGTGTGCATGAAAGTCTGGACAACCGTACTCTCACGAGTCACATAGCCGGTCAGGACACCTGGTACAATATAAGCTGCCTGAAACGCGTCTGAAAATAGCCTCTTCTTGCTGGCTCCAGCCGCACTTTTCGAGTCCCACTTCGTTCCCTGTCTGTTAAATTTGACAAAATCTGCCAGTGCAGCCGGCTGGTCCGGCGCCGGCCCTAGCTGGAATCATCAGTTTGCGGCAAAGATCATACCGTACCCGCACCAGACTCGGACACCCTGGCCCCTGGGCCTGGCGCAGGCTAGTGCCAATGGCGCACCACTGGCATGCAGTACCGTGTACAATGTACACTACAGTCTACGGTATACCTAGTACCTACTAGTAGTACTGGTGGTAGGCTGGCACGCTTGCATGCAACGCTTCCGCATCGCGCAATCCTCATGCATGCATCTGATTGGGCATTGCAGATCGCGCAATGATCGAACGGGAAGACCGGCCTAAATTTTGTGAATATGAGGTCAGCACTACCGGAATCCTACGTCATTATCATGATGATTTATATCTGCAGCATAATCTGCTGACGACCGAAGAGATGTCGTTTCAAGAATCTCGGCGGCCGGATTACGTCCTACATAATCATACAATCCAGCTATATTTGCGGAACAGTCTGCTCAATCTGTGACTTTTAACCCAGACCTACAAAAGTGTCTACCGGCTCCACAGGGCAGACTCCACACCCATGCCCACCTAGACATTCATAGGATATCCTGACCCTATCTTTAACCCCTCTAACCCCCAGGCCAACCCGTGGAGCTGGCGACGGTTGATAACTATTATTGGCTGAGCCTGGACTCAATTACGATGGGCTATAATCCAAGGTTCATGCAAGTTCAACAAGCCTTAAAAAAGCTTGGAAAAATCTACGGCAGCGGTGGCCGCCCCGTGGCAGTAGTGGTCACTGTCTGCAGCGCTCCCAATTGTCTACTGGTGTCCTAGCTTTTCAATTACGGTACTAGGGCAGTACCGTACTACCTGGCCGTACTATACTACTAGCCTAAGGTAGATCATCGTGTTTGAATTTTCAATTAAAGTCATTACAGAGAACTTTAGAGCCTTAGGGCTCTGAGCTATGGCTTGAGCTTTACAGGCTTTGCCAATGTGCTGACGGGGTGCTGACGCTCTCCTAGGGCTCTGCTGATGTTCTCAAATTCTCCTTTCAAACGCCATAGCCACTTGAAGATTTATTCCTAATACTCCCCGGGCCCGAATCCAATTGGCTAAAGAGGTTGAAGTCTTCAAAACGGATTGGGAGCCTGAGCATGTCGGGTCTCTGATGGTGTGATGGTCAGTCTCAATTATACTATCACTAGCTGGCCCCGTGCAATCAAGGCCGAGTCGGATTCCGTAGGGTGGTAGGCTGTACACCATACCGTATACGGAATGGATGACCCATGTCGGATTCAATATATACATCTACATACAGGACTCCTCCATGTCTGTGACGGGACATGCTGTTGCAGCGATCCGGCGAGGACGTCATGCTCCTCGTACGTATACGTACGTCTAAAACTTGACTACATGTTTTTAGAGAATTTTAAGTTTCGGAGCATGCCAGCTCTATAACTGTACTGCCTTGAAAGGCAAGGTGCAAAGGCCCGCGGCCAAGCCTGAAGGAATCCCTTAAGCGTGCAGCGCACATATATAATTGAGCTGTATGTACGGCCGGGGCCCGCATGCTTGCACGCAGCCGGGACTCAGTCATAGCGATCTTGCTTGGATTATCTTGATGTCGCAATCTCACACTCATGCATTATCCAGAACGTTAACAAAAGGGCCTTCTCGATGCGCTCGGAGGGTTTATTTCAGATTGCTCATGCTAAGTCGACGTCAAGCGAATAATCAAGAAGGTACATGTGGTTCTTAAGTTTATACTGAATTTCTTGGCAATCCTCATCAGTCATGTCAACCTTCAAGAAGGCTTGTATTAGCTGTGCTTGTTATTGTGTGTGCTTTCCGACCTCGCCAGGCCCCGCATCGCATGCGCTACAGTTTTGAGCCCGTGGCCCGGTCCGCATCGGGTGCGATCAATGCTGTATTGTGGATTGCTCTCACGGCCACTACCAAGGCTTACAATGGTGATCTCATCTCATGGTCGCTAGTATGGAACATCGTACAACAATTAGATTTGATTCGATCGCATCTTCCTTAACCCATGTATTATCTACATGCTTTCTCTCTAGACTTTCAAGGCGCAAGCGTTCAAAAGCAAAATTTTCTCTAATTGTCGACCCGCAGTTGAGCTGCAATTTGCTGAAATTTCAAAACGCAAGCTGCGAGTATCTCCAATCTTCCCACCCAGTGCCTGACTCAAGCTGCAAACACGCACAATATCGATGTGTAAATGCGACAGCGCTCTCAACCTTGCTAGATAAAACTGCACAAGCGCAAATAGTGGTAAGACGCCGCCAAGATCCTACTTGAGGATGCATGCCTCCAGGAAAGAGAGCCGGAAGAAGAGAGAATGATAATCGTACTGCTGGTTGAAACTACGGGGCGAAGAAGATATAATCCAGCCGTCCGAGGAGCCAATTTACTCGTCCAAGGTCTCATCAAGTATGGACAGACATTTTGGACGGTTGGCTCTTGTAAAAGTTTTAGCTTTAAAACAATGGAAAGAAGGCAGCTTTCTGGGCAATGGAACTCTGCACGAACATGTTTGCGGCTACCCCTCTTGCAATCCGATAAAGAAGCAACCCGGCCGGGAACTCGCTCTCACTTGAAACATCATGCTCGTCTTCAAATGTGGAAAAAACTGGCGAAAGAGTTCACGAAAAAGGCAAGATAGGGTTGGCTGCTTGTCCAACTGTTACGTGCCTAGCTTCTCTTGTCAAATTGGACAAAAGTCTTGATGAAAGTTTGGTATGGTGAAATACTTCAGGAACAAGCGAGTCTTGAAAAGAATGAGAAGGCGGTCCGGCGAAACAACTAAAACGGCGTCAAACGCGAGAAACAAAGCGTACATACACGCAATAAAAGATCACAACTTTCTATCTTGAAACGGGTCTACATCCTCCGTCCACCTACGAGCGACAGGGCAGGGGCAGATCCATCTTGTGCAAGCGATGCAAGCACATGCAATCTCCAACAAACACCTCGATATCGAATCTGGGGACATCCGCCAGCTTCGAAGCAAAGTGGCAAGCGCACTGGAGCGAGATAAGTTCGCAGACAAGTGCGGGCGACTCATGACCATTCAAGACAGGCCGCTGTCCGACGCTGCCTTTGTGGTCGTTCCTGCAGATAAGTTGAGAAACAAAGAAAAGAATGACTATCTTCATCTTGAGTCCCAGCGACTCACCGGCTTAGCTAAGTAGACGTCCAGAACCGGGATGGCTGCTCGAAACGGCGAGACCTTCGTCGCTACGTGGAGGACTCGTCGCCTGCCAGGAGAACACAAGAGGATGGGCTTCTCTTGTGCAAGCTCAAGATACGGAAGCAACATTCCACGCACTGCACCACATGGCCCGCTCGGACTCCGGCCGCCACATCATTCCAGACGAAAGGAACAAGCCGGAGCAGTGACCGGAAGTAATCCAGATTTTGGCCTGAATCATACGTGAGACAAGCACGGCAACGGGTGGCCCTGACAAGTCTGCGATGAGACCGGCCTGAGCTCTGTAGATAACTGCAACAAGCCCCCAATGCTCTCATTGACAGCTTCGCCAGGAATCGCAACGAAGTGTTCAGCAAGAGCTCAGTCGTCAGCCATCTCTAGACTACCTTTCAGACCATGAGCTGAAACGAAGCCTTTTGAAATCTTCACAGCCTGACCGTGCGACGTGTTTCTTGATCTCACCCGGCAGCCTTACAGGGTCCCCTCCCTCCAGACTGCCGAAGCTCCTCAAGAGGAGGCCTTGTTTCTCACGAGCCCGCCCGCATGCTCGTCACCACTTTAGGCACCTTGAGCCACTGAAAGGCAGGAACACCGCGGCCATTGTAGCCATTCGAAGGGGCGCCTTCGGTCTTTGAGCCTGCGATTCGTTGTGGTTGACGTTGAGTGTTTCATCAAAGCTGTTCCCACATAAGCTCCCCTAGTCAAAAACCAAACCTGGGGTCTGATCAGGTCGGCAAGAGATGGAAAGAGAGTATCCTGCGCTTGAGATCACGTCAGGTTCGAATGTTTACTCTTTAGGAATTTGACCAAAGTCTTGGTCTCAATTGTTGGCTTTCTCCCCTTGGATGACCATCTTTGATGTACTCCTAAAAAGAACAGTCGTTTAACCAGACAGCACCTCGCAATGGGAATCCCAGCACCGTTCTAGCAGGACAGGGCAGCCTTTTGATTGCAATGAAAACATGTGTGCTTAGTCACACACATGCCGGATGATGGAACCAAGCTTTGACAAAAGTATGCAAGAGTCAAACTGGAGCCGTTCCGCCAACGCCCATTTATGGAACCAAGAATGCAAGCATGCTGCATCGATCTTTCTTGCAGAGGCCTGCCGCTGGACTTGTGAAGTGACACGATCTGTTGCCCGGGCTTAGCGAATTTGTGGGAGCATGAGTTTGAGGCAACTGCATCCTACTTTCACAATCCCACTGTGAGCACTTGAAGCAGGCATATGGTTGGTGACAAAATCAACGGATCCGCACACAATTAGTGACACAGCAAGGCCTATCAATGAGCCCCGAAGATGGACGGAAGATGCGATGTTGTGTACAGACCGCTAGAAATAAACAGACGAATAGCACGACAAACACTTCAGACATACGAACCTAAAGACTGGAGACGATGATAGCAAGAAAGGCAGTTGAGATCTGCAATCCCCACCACAAAAAGGAGTAGGCCGCAAACTTTCAAAAGGAAATGTGTGTTCGATGACAAGTGCCTCCCCTTAATAAGCACAATCTGGCATCAGAAACAAATAAGGACCGAGGTTTATTGCGGATGCCCGCAACGGTTATAGCTACTCACTTGTTTGCGCAGGCTCCCCATCGCCGCTTGCTCGGTGCCTGCCGCCCTCCACTTCACTCTCCAAAGCCCGCTTCCCATCTTCTTCCTGTCCTATGTCACCGTCCCTTCCGGCCAGCCCCGATCGGTCCACTTCAGCCCCCCGTGGGTTCAACTGAATGGCGCCAAACCCGCTGCCCATATCGTGATAAGTGCTCCGCCAAACATTCTCTCCCGGCCACGTCCAAAGCTTCGCAGCGGGACTTTGGGCTTTGAGCAATTCATCTCTTGCCGTCCCTGGTTCTCCCCCAATGCTGTGTCTCTCCGCAACCTCCATCCCGTTCCTGCCTTCGTTCTTGCCTAGCTCTGTGGACACTTCAAGTCCATGGTTGCCCCGCTGCTTTGGGACCTCTAACCCTTCTCTCAGCATTCTCCTGCCCTGCGGCGAGCCAATGCCCCACCCCCCTAGGAGCTCTTCCCCCATTTTGGCCGCACTCTCCCCCACCGGTTGTGAGATCCGTGCCCGCAGCTGCCTCACGCTCTCCACAATCGCCTGGCGCTCCAAAAGTGCATCCGCATCTAGTTTCGCTTCCTCCCCAAACCTGGTTGGTTTGTGCAAGTCCGTACCATGAGCCCTTCCCAAACTGTCCCCAGTCTCCTCGTCACCGTTCGCTTTCCATGACCCCCATTTTCTGTGAGCAGTCCCTAACCTCGCCCCGCTTTCCACTTCCTCTTCTCGCCCAAACCCTATCGTTCCCCTCCGCCCTTTCAGCCGGTGCTTGTACCGCGACCCCCGCACACCCTCCACGGACAGCCGCCTAACCCGCTTCTTGGTCCATCGCTGACCTCCCGCGGTTAACCCTAACCCGCGCTCTGTATATGGGGACCCATCCTCAGCAGCAGCCAATGGGCCTAAACGCTTCTCGTCGACCCATCTTACCCTCTTTCGCACAGCATTGTTTTCAGGAGCTCTCTGCTCGGTGGACTCGTTATGCACCTCACTTTGCCCAAGCGCACCACAGCTGACCTCGGCATGTAATGCTGTGTCATCTGCCTTCTGTTTTTCATCTTCAAGGCAGGCATGGCCACCTTGCTTTCGCTCCATGTCTTCTTGCTCACCATCCATTAGCAGGCGGCCCGCAAGCTGTTCAGTTACAGCATTGTCATCCTTATCTTCAAATTTTTCTGCAGCACCTTGAGCATCAACATTCACATTATCCATGTATCCACCACCGCTGTTGCTCTCCAAACTGCTGTAACCTTCATCTCTCACCCCAGCATTGCACAGAATTTGCGTTCCTGCCTCCGCAGTGACAAAACCCCCACCCGCAGGTAAACTCTCGCACGGCCACATGCTTAAGGCCGAAGGACGGCAAACTGAGCAGCACAGCTGACTCTACAGAATGGGAGGCAAGAGCTCCTGTACCCTCCCTTCCTAGCTGAAGATCTGACGCTCCACTTCGGAGATGGCACAGAAATGCAAACCTTGCCAAGTGCATGGAGCACTGACCTACCCTAGGCATGAACAATCTGCAATGTTAAAAGTCTGTTGCAAGCTGCTGAAATCCTCTTCAAGCCGCTTGATGCAGATATCGACGGTTGCATTGCTTGAGGGCCAATCGGCGGGTCTTTTCACAGAGGCCTATTAATGTTCAGTATCGAAAGGTGAACGTCCAGCGCACGCCTTACAATGTTTTGCAGGTCGATGGAGCCTTTCTCCGTCACTGGTGTCAGTGTCAAGGAAGCCAACATGTTGCGGTTGTGCGGTTCTCTGTCGATGGTTCAAGACTTGCCCCACGGGCTGCTCGTCCTCCTGCGCACAGTGGCGGTTTATTGGTGCATCTGCCTGTGTCTCACCTGCTGCGGCCCTCTCATTGACGCTTGATCGCGAAGGCTGTTGAATTCAAGTCCAGCGACCACGCAGCATTGCTAGGATTCTCCGCAGTGTGGATGACATCTTCAGTTCAAGAAGCTCAAGCAAAGTATTGGATTTGATAGTTCGAAAAAGCAGTGCGGTGCTTTAAGTGTGGTGTCAGAAGGAGGAGGCGCTTTCGGGCAGGAAGTTAGACAGCACGGTTGGTTGACAGTGTGGCAAGATGGCGTCTTCCGGGGCTCTCCTGGTTGCTGCACCGGTTTCCCGAATTACGTGTTCCAGCATGGTGAGCTGTGAACGTGGACGTACAACTACATCTCTTTCTTTCATTCCTTATGGCAACGCCTTATGCATTTTTTGCACAATTGTGCCCTTCTTCTGCACCTGCCATGAGCAGAAGTTTCGACATGGCAAGTGAAGTTTGCCACCGTCAGCAAGGCTGGTGATTTGGTTGTCCCCCATCTTTATGTTGCATCAAAAGGAAAACTTTCTTGCATGTCAGGTTGTACCACCATGCACATAGTTCACATTTGTCGTCTGCTCGCATGCGCCTCCTTGAAATTCTGCTACGTTGCTTCTCTGATTGGTGCTGCGGGTGTATCGTCATGCCTGCAATTCAGGGAAAGTCACCAAGAGCTGCGGTCTGGTTGCACTTCATCACATATAGCACTGAAACTGGTGGCTGAATTGAATTTGCTTCAGGCGGTCCTATCTGCCAAGGCTTTCCCTCCCTGATCCAACTCTCTTTGCAACCCTCCAATGTTTCCAGCAGTAGCCCCGTCTCCATCTTCTCTTAGTTTTACGAGCCCATAGCCTCTTCGGCTATGGCGTAATTGAGAAGAAGGCAATATTTTGCATTGAAAAGCCCCATTTTTCATCAACTCCCTCATCTCCTCTTTTCAGAGCATCATCCGCCGTCCCGCTTTTTGCCTCTCCCAGCCATGCACTCCCATGGCAACCCACCCAAGGCCACGCAACCCAATCCACAATAGCGGGTTCTTCAGTAACCCAGCTTCAACCAGCACGCCCAGCCTCCTGATAGCAGCAGGGGGCAAGAAAGACAAGCTGAAGAAGCGCCGGAAAGGGCGACGAGACTCCACTGTTCACAAAGCTCTGGGCCCGGGGGGTGAGAGTGTTCTCACGGTGACTTCGAGATTGTCCCCTGAGGAGGTTTGGGAGAGGGAGGAGCGGCGATGGGAGAGGGAAGAGCTGCGCTGGTTGAGGGAGGAACAGAGGTGAGCAGTTGCAATGGGAACGTGGAGTGTGGGAAGTCGGCAAACTGATGGCCAGGCTGCCGGGTTTGTGAATAGTGTGCGGTCTTAATGTGTGGGCATGGGAATGTGGCTAGCTTATGCTTCTGCTTTGACGACGTTCAGGTTGTGGTTAGGCAGGGGGTCGAGGGGTTGATTGAGCAAGGCTGTGAGAAGATAAAGATAGCTCGGTATGGAGAGGAATGGCTTCATCGTTTAACTGCAAGAGCAGCTGAGCCAATTGTCCCTCGCCACTGAGAACTGGTCCTGTAAGAAACTTTGTAAACTGTTTACTTTGCCAGCGATGCCAGAGAGTCACCCTCATTCCGGGGAGAAGAAAGGCCCAGCTTCTGCTGGTCATGATATGCTGATTTAGTATCGACCTCAATTGTGTTTGCAGATCGCTGTGTCTGCATACAGAACCTTTTGTTTTCGCTGCAAATTTAGGCCTCAGTCAGGGCTTCACCCCACTTCGTTAAGTGGTTGCTTACTTTACGGTTGTCCCTGCACTAAGTTTAGTGCAGAAAACTTTCAAGTACTCTTAAGGGAAGAAGCAGATTGGCATAGAGCAACATGTCATTCATGTGTTTACAAGGGAAAATGTCATCAGAACGCGGTTTTCTTTTTGTGCAGAACCATCCTCAGATAAGCTCCGACTTAAAAGGTTTGCACTAGCTTTCCTCCACTTTTTTTCATGCACTGGTGACTAAAGAACTCTTACGGGGTGCGGCATAATGCGAGGAGTGAGCTCACGAAAAGAAGGTCGCAGTAGCCCATATTGCTATTGGTGTTACTGCTTAGTCCCCGTTCTTCTGCAGAGGTGGCTCGAGGAGGGATTTCGGTGTGAGCGATTGGCCCAAGAACAGGTGCCTTCAAAATCTGCTATTCCGGTCCTTGCGTCACGGCCAGCATATCCTCAATTGTCGCTCAACAAACACTTGATTTTGGTGTAGGTGGTTGAAGGAGGAATCGCGGTGGGAGCGGGAACGTGAGGAGTGGGCCCAAGAAGAGGCCCAGTTGCAAAACCACATTGAGGCGCTGCGAGCGTCCTTCGCTGAGACGCAGCTAGAGGCGCAGAGCCGAGCGGATGCCATGCGGCTGTCGATCCAAGAGGAGTCGGCGCAAGCACAGGTAATGTCTCGTTTGTTCCGCCTCCTCATTTGACTTCCAGTTTTAACGGAAGTCTCACGGTTCTGGCTCTTTGTTTTGCATTCAGTGCATGGGGTTCAACATTTGCAACGCGGCACTCAAAATCACTAGAAGGTGGACTGTGCACGCATGGGGTGCCTCTTTTATACTCCTGGTGTCCTTTTTCGCTTCTTGCTTCTGCTTTGGCTGAGCGGACATCTTGCGGCAATCAGGAGACTTTGAAGAAGGAACCGGCAAACGCGTTTCTGAAGCGTCCGTTTCAACAGAAAGGGTGAGTCGTATTTGAAATCCGGGAATCAAATCGAAAATCGAGAGTCAAATGCTAGCCGATCTGAGGATCGTTGCCAACTGTCCATGATCGGGCTTGTCAATATTTGGCGAGAGAAGCAAGAGGGGAATTATGCATTAGACTTGGAAAAAGATGGCCTCTGGAGACATCGGTCCTACATCGTTGCTCTTTGCCAGCATGTCCTTCTGCTTTATGAGAACATTGTACGTTTCCTTCCGGTTGTTTGGGCTCGACTTTTTTTTCTAAAGACTGCACCGAGTTGTAAGCTCTCCATATCATTGTCGGCGTATCAGAAGGTCAGGGGCAACGCGTCAAATCCGGTTTAAGGCGCAACTTACCTCGTGATAAACGCGACCATTCGCTGATCCAATCACTTCCCGAGTTGTGCGCTCTGCTTTTCAGATGGTGGGCGAAGCCGCTTTGGGGGCGCAGCTAGCAATTGATGGAGAGCTCCAATTGGCGCGCGCCAGGTGGCGCGAGGAGGAGCAGGCGCTGCTGGCCGAGGTGGACGCGCTCAAAACGGCTCTGGCGGAGGTACTAGACGAAGCAAACGCCAAGGCGGAAGCAGCCAGGATGACGTGGCAGAAGCATGAGGCGACGCTGCAGGTGAGGGACAGATGCTGACGCGTCCAGCAAATGCCACATTTTCCTTTCGGTTGTTAGCACTTGGTGTTGGTTGCCTCCAGGTTTCGGTCTGGCAGACAGACAGCTTGCTTTCAAGGCCCCACAAGTTTTAGGGAGTCTCGGGACTGCTTACATTTCTATCTAGATTGTTTCTAGGCTCGAAAGGCTCTGTGCACCAAGAGTGTCCGCCAAGGTTTGTCCACCGGGAACACTCTCATCCGGTGGCTCAGGCGGTGGTCGACAAACTCAAAAGCACAGCAACAAAGTAGCTTGTTCTCGTTTTCAAGCTACATACCCAAAGCGCTGCGGCCGATTCAGCTTCCGACCTTTGACATCTCTCAAGAAAAGAGTCATTTCTGACACTCCGCGTCATTCGTTTGCAGGCGGAGATTGCGCAGTTGAAGCACTCCCTGCTGGAGGCCCAAGCGGTGGCGCAGGCGCGCAACGGAGGCAAGTCCGCGAAGCCCACCAAGCCGGCAAGCGAGAAGGCCCCCAAGATGGAGAAGCCCGAGACGATCGTAAGACCGGCGCCGACAGCGGAGGAGATCATCGCAGCTGTCGCTTCAAGGACGCCGACACCAATGAAACCGGAGGTGATGATCCGGTGTTGTTTTTTCTTGTTCCTGAGTCTTCTAACTCTTATTATCCTCAGTGTGTCCATCATGAGCTTTTCGGGCCGAGGCTTCGACTTCTACAGAGCGCCAAGTCATTGACTGGCGTCACTGATATCGGACTGGACGTTGAGTGCCCCATCTTGAAGTCGCACGGGGTCCTTGCTGAAAGGTATGGCAACCTGGCCGTGAAAACAGCATGTGATTATGCGGAGCCACCCAGAATATGTCGACTCCTGAGCCAGCTAATAGGTGGCGAACGTCCAAGCCTTCGTTGGATTGTGCAGCCAACCGATCTCTTGGGAGCTACTCTTCTGTTCGGTTGTGTGGTGCAAGGTCGTTGATGACAATGATACGCGCTGTGGTCAGACACGAGGCAACCGCATGCCCAAATCTGTCGTTCAGAGGCGCACAGAACGAGCGCAAAGAGTCTACTTGACAGCATCAAGGTCCTGCACGTCGGGTGGCTGTGTCCAGTCTATATTGTCCGTGTGTGTGATTGCCAGTTTGATTGTTGTGAACGTGGTACTTCAGGTCCTGGTCTGAGCTACGACAGTTGAAATGTGGACGACGGCTGAAAACACTGTCTGGTTGCTAGATCGTCGAAGTTTGTGACGGTTGGCAGCTCTCCGGTCAGCCTTTTCCTCGGTTGTGTCAGCAGACAGTATACTGAAACCTCTCAAAGGTGATCCACCAAGTAAACGTGACCGCACGCTCAATTCGTATAACGTCAACGCGAAGGCAGATCATTATATAAAGATGGGGCACGCATTCGGTGGCACGGAAATTGTATCTGCTTTGCCCCGTAGCAAAGAAACGGCCTCTACTTGCTTTTTCGTTGATTCTGTGATCAATGCGGTCTTGAGTCCTTTTAACCCTTTTCTGCTCCTCTCTTCCGGGTTGGAAATAAGAGAGATATCAACTTTGATCGACCTTCTGTGGCTTGCAAACATGAGCAAAGCGCTGCACAAGGTTCGATGCTCACAATGGGGCCCTGCAGAATTGATGGCGTTGGCAATGATGACAAACCCCTGGCATTTGTGAAGCCAGGAGTTTTCGGTCATGTGACAGGAAGCCAAAGTCAAGCTTGTCAGGCTACAAGATGAGGAACCGGAGCCGTTACCGTAAGTGTAGGCTGCGTTGATGGCCTTCTGTCTTTGTTCCAAAACAGCTAAGTTTGTATTCTTGTCCAATGGGGCGAGGAGCAGAGTCCCTTCTACCTCCTTTCTGCTTAGCTGGCTGGATGCAAAGTATGAGAATAAGAGGGTTTTGAAAGTCTGCGCGTCAGAGAAGTAACACGAGCGCTTAGGGGCCGATGAGGCAATCAGGCCATCTCTCTATGTGGAATTGGGCATTGGCTATGACGAAAGGACACTGCGCGTTCTGGGAAACGCGGGATATGTACATGTGTCGCGCTCCGGCAGCTACTTGGATGTAGCTCTTGCTTCCTGTATGGAGTTGTGCCTGCCAGCATCGTGAGTCGCTTGCGTCATCATGAACGCCTTCCATGCCCTTGCAAGTGCTTCGCTTTTGTACTAAAGATCGCCCGAAGCAAAGGCAGTGGGTTGAAGTTTTGGAAGACTTGCGACGAAAAACGGTCATTGGTCGCCTGACAAGCTGGCAACAAGTGCAGACTGCCTTGGATCAGACTTTGCGAAGCTGTACGACTATGCGCTTATGCAAAGGTGTGCCTGCGTTTTCTAGCCGGTTCCGTCCACTTGAAGCTCACCATCGTGAAGAGGACGGGTGTCCAACCATCATAGCTGAAACGTTTTTTCTTGGTTTCTTTCTGACCGTCAAGCATATGTGGCATTGGAATGTTTCTGTTGGATTTGCAACTGTCAGAACTGTTGGTGAGTGCAAGACGCCATGTACAAAGTGGGTGCCTACAGTGTTGCAAAATCAGGATTGTCCTTGTTTATTCGCTGCCCTCGAACGTGCCTTTGGTGATGATCAAAGCACACCATATACTGGTTGTGAAGTTGCCAGGCCTTTTCCAGAGGTGTGTGACGCCAATTTGCTTTTTAAGGTCTGTCCTTTCATTCCCGCGAGGACGTGATATTAGACTTAAGTTGCAGGGTGTTGTATTCGGAATCTGTGACAAGGTCGGAACACGCAGTCTGGTCATACCGTCTGTCGGATACCGTTTTAAAAGCCGATTGAAGATATGTCACTCGTGCGGGTCCACAGGTCAGCAAAGATGAGCGCAACTTTGGCTGCTACATAGCCACCGGATTGTCTCCATCAGAAGTTGAATTTATCTGTTGGGCATGTCTGGTTCATGCGTGAAGTGTCTTGACTTCGTGCTCATTCGGTGGTATGTGGCAAGAAGTTGTGCGACTGAACGTTAGCAATTGTTTGTCTTCTGAAAGTATGCTCTCACGAGGTTTTTCAATCTTACAACGACCTTTCACCCGCTCAAACAAGTTGACGCTTTGCGCATTCCTACCAGTCCGGCAACAAAGAGTAAACCCGTATCGACCTCTGTCTGCATGTGGGCAGCAACTCGGAGGATTGTCATATGCATAAAACCTATGCGTTGCCTTCAATCGGCTGTCCTGTTTATGGTAACATTATTCCATCGGATCCGGCAGGACTTGCACTGACTTTCGGTTGAGCATTGGGAGTTTTATGATTGCCGCTTAGTTTGGGACTGTGCATGCTGATTGTGCTACCTTTGGCAATGAGGAGCGAGGTCTTGCCACGATAAGGCATCAACATGGAGGTTACGGAATGCGAAGCTTCGTTCACTGACTCATAATCGCGAAGGCTGCGCACATGACGTTTGATTCTTTACCTTTGAAGCGACATTACATCTGAAAACTTTGTCTGCTCGCAATCTATCTTTCCTTCTAGCAGTATCTACGTGTTTCGCGCCATCTACGTCGCTAGGACACTACGTGTCCGGTGTGTACACATCCGTTGTGCATCTCGCGAAAGAATTGTAAGCCACTTACCTCCGCATCTTTTCCATGTCGCCACGCCACGTTTCGTGGTAAAGTCATTCAAGTGGTCTCAGAAGCGTCTCGCCATGCTGAGCGATAGTCCGCTCTCTGCTCCGGTTTGTCGAAGCGTTGTTGGTGATGGCGATGACGAATGTACGTTGGCCAGCTTTTGCAGAGCCAGCAACGCCTGTCACGGACGCCAGACTTTAAAGTCGGTGACGTCAATCGAGGGTCTTTCAGAATATTTCCCTTTGCCCAGCATTCGCTTTCAAAGCAACGGGAAGCAAGCGGTTGCGAAGGGTTTGATTTCGCTTTCCCTATGTCACCGATTCCGTGTCCCTGAATTGTCTTTTGTTCCGTGACTGTCTTGCTCGCTTTCAAGGTTGCGTAGAACCACAGCAGGCTGAGAGAATTTCCTGGGGACGTTTGAGATATTCGGCGCATACGGCGACGTGTGAGCTATTTTAGGATTTTACGGATTTACGGTTTTGAAAAGCGAAGCGTATGCAGTGATGTGGTCAAAGATGTCGGACGGCCTTGCCTTGTGGGCATAGAGGTACTGTACTGCCTGAGACGCTGGGACGCTCTACAGGAATATCTGAGGCTCAGGGGCGCTCGTCCACTTTTCCTTTCTTCTGCTTTGGCAGCCGACTCGTTCTTATTTGGGTAGCCCGAAGCACTTCTTCAATCTCTCAACAGAAGGATAACGTGTAATGCTGCCACAACAAGCAAGTTGGATGCTTGCCTCGTTGCCGGAGGGAGACTGTTCGTGCACTCCTACCAAACCGCAACCTAGCAAAGACACGCCTGAAGTCCTATGCTCTGAGAGCAGATGTATACTGAGAAGTATTTGCGGTGCTATAGAAGTCGAGGCATGTAGTGACGACTCAGTGAAAGGCAATGACGAAGAAACATGTATAGCACTGGCACAGGTTGCCAACCTCGTTTCGAGATCTGCCGTCCATGCATGTGCTTTCTCTTACTGGTTGTGAAAGATGCTTGCAATATGCCCGGTACAAATCAAACCGGCGTCCTCAACCACAGTAGACGGAACAGAATCCCGCAAAAAAGTTTCACTTTGAACGGCTGTAAATTCTCGGTGCAAACTTCTTTTCCGGCAGGTAAAGGGCGTCTTCAAGACCTCATTTTCCAACGGCGCCGCCGCAACGAACGGCGCCCCCAAAACCGCCCCCCCTGCCGCGCACCGAACTTTGCGCTACGGCGCCGAAGGCCCCGACGTAAAAGCAGTCCAAGCAGAGCTCGAACGCCTCGGCTTCTACTGCGGCGAAGAAGAAATGGAAGCGGATGCATACGAAGACGGGACCGATACTGCGGTGAAGTCGTGGCAGTGCAGCGTGGGGGTGAGAGAAGACGGAGTCCTGACACCCGAGCTGCAGGTGCTCCTTCTCGGGGGGGTCGTCGCTGGGGCAAAGCAGGGGGGGGCGGCGGTAACGGAGGCGCGTGTTGAGCAGAAAGACAGAGAGGTGGAGAGCGAGCGGTTTGCGAGGACGGCGGCAGAGGGGAGCGTGTCTGGGAGCACCCGGCGGGTGTATTTACTAGGGGAGAACAGGTGACTCCGGCTCGACCGAGATTCCGTGTCCAATAGCCTTTTTGTCCGTGTCTTCACCGCACTCATGCGGCTTAGATGCAAAGGGTTTTTGAGTATGCTCACGTGTCTCTCTTGCTACGGGTTCTTCTGCTCTGTGGCCTGTCATTTGGCTGCAGCGTGACAATCATTGAGGGTTTGCCGCTAGTCACCGTATGAGGCGTCGTAAGATCCATCATGCACAGGTAGCTTGTGAGCATCTCTATTCCGTTCCGGTAGGACGGTTGGAACCTGTAGTAAGTTTCCATTATACTGTCAAGCAGTCGCATACTCAAATCTTCAAAGGTTGCGCTCTAAGATCAGCTTTCGAGCTAAGAGAAAAATTCTGCTGATCGACGACGCGTCTCCCACAGGTGGGAGGAGCCAGATCGTCTTGTTCCGAACAGCGCCAAGGCCATGGCTGTTGGCATGCAAAAGTGCTTCGCTTGCAAGGGGGAGGGCAAGGTCATGTGCACTGGTAAGTGCTCGGTTTCATCGTCCTTTTCATAGCTGCTTCTGTCCATTACGCAGCGAGTGCGCATGTGGCCTGGGAACGAAGCCTCAATGTTGCGAGCCGCTTTCGCCATTTGAAGGAGGGTCCTCGGAAGTGGAGGATTTGGGACTCAGCTTGCATGTGGGCCAAACACATCACGCGTAGCCTCTTCAAAAGAAAGTACCAAGTCTTCGTCCGGATTGTCCCGAACAGACATGACAGAACGGCAAAGGGTCTCCAGTTCTCAACGCACCTTCTTGAGAGTCCACCGGTGCTTGTTGCCTCTCCGCATTCCAGCCCGTTCTGGTTCATCCATCAATCTTGGTCTCAATTCTGGTCAATTTTTTTGCGAAGCCGGTCAAGGTTCAGTGAATGCCCGTTTTGTGCCTGCAGAATGCGAAGGAACAGGGGACATGAACGTGGAAGAACAGGTGAGACTGCCCGCCAGAACGGTGCCCTCACGATCGGAGTCGCTACTATGAGTTCGTTGGTTGGTGCTCTCGACGAGTCTCTTCAAAGGCTGCCACATTCAGGAAAGTCGGGGTTCCGGAACCCCCGACTCTGTCGAAAAATAATGCCTGGGCGATGAGGAGCTAGGGCTGCTGGTATACAGAACAGCTGCTTCACCTGATGGAATTTGTTTTTGCAGCGCTCAAGCATCGTCGCCATTAGAATGTTTCTTAGGCGTGAACAAAGCAGGGCTTGATTGTTACGCCAGGAGACGCATCCTTGTACTCTCTCGTTAGCACGAGCGCACGAGTGCACGCCGGGATCTTCTAAGCAATGTCGGTGCTTGATGTTTGTGGGCAGAAGGCTAAGCTGCACCGCCCATATCCTTCATAGAAAACGGTGTTTCGAACCTGGGTTTCTGCTCTTCCTGAATAAGATTCCGTGTTTTGGTGCAGTTTCTGAGTTGGGCGGGAGAGGATCCCAGCTGCCCCTACTGCAACGGCACCGGTGCAACCGACTGTGACTCGTGCCAGGGGAGTGGCATAGAGAAAATCTTGATCAGCTAGACGTTGGCTTCAGCTTTTACTTCTTGCGGCATGGTGGTTTAGTATATATGCTGAACAATCCACGGATATGCAATTGATAGGTTGCTGTTGTGCTCGCTGTTGGATTAAGCGTCTCGTCACGCTCTTATTGTCAGGACGTATGTTGGACGGATCCTGTGCCTTCAGGGCGTCTCCCTCTCTTTGCTGCATTTGGTGGTCAGACAACCTGGCAAGCCTTCAATCAGATTCCATCACTGCCAAGTTGGCGGTGCTACCATCAGTCGGACCTTACGTCATGTGGATTCAAACGACCGTTGGACTCCTGTCCAAGTTGTTAGCATGGGCATTATGTGGGTTTATTTGTTACGCACTTACTAGCTCTTCAGACCTGAAAAGGCCATCTCAACACGTCCTAAGTTCTGGACGTCGTCCTTGTTCCTACTTGTCCGCTGGTAAACAACAAACTCGGAGTAGGGGTTCTTTTGACGACGGTGTACCGTAAGAAGCCGGCGTTTTGTTAGATGCAACCTGTCTACAATGAGTCTTGCTGAAGCGGCTTGATTTCCCTTCTATTTTTGTTACCGCGTTAAAAGCGAAGGCTCTTTTTGTCCGTTATCTGGGTCACTGACGCTGGCAATGAGGCGGGACCAGTCTTTGGATCGCCAGCCTTTTCTTCGACAAGTCGGACTTAGCGTCCGGTTCGCTTTCGACTCGCCCTTGTGACTGCCCACTTGCGATTGCTACTTGCTCCAAGAAAGGGGCTTCGTCAAGCTAGCGCCCCAATTGAATCTTGCTGAATAAGTCCTGCGGCGCTAGGATCAGGCCTTTGTGAACGTGACACACGCGGTACGTCATTTGTGTTAACTCAGTGATGCTGAATGATGCCAATGAGTATATAGCAGGTGACCGCTGTTCTGAAGTTCTTTGTTCGAGCCTACACATGCACTTTGCTTTCGCCACGTGTCAAACTGGTGTCGTATTCACTTTTATTCCGATACGTCGATCTTATGACGGAATCTTGGCAAAAAAGATGTCGAAAGTGTTCCACAAAAGGCCCCTTTCGGCAGTGACGATACATTGCCTGGCTCCCGCGTCTGCGTGAACCAAGCGACCTTTAGTGTTGCCTAAAGAATCTTTGCAGATTGGATCCAATTGCGTTCATTCTCAAGGCGAAGGCAGCGGGCCTCACCTTCGTTTGTGAGAGTCTCATTCGGTTCCCTTGACATCTCCTTACAGAAGATTGGCTTCGTGTGCAGTGCCGCATTTTAGTTTTCTGCAGGAGACACGTCTTTGCTGTACCAGCAAATCAAAGTTGCGTGTCAACGCTCAGATTTCCCTACTTTATCCACGAGAGCTATATACTGCAAGACGCACGCTGTGCACCGACTGTCTTAAAAGCATGTTTACAGGATTCCTTCCTGCTATTGTCGGCTGATTGGACGCAAGGACCCATTTTCTGCTCGGTTTAACATGTCTAGTCGGACAGGTCTGCTTGGCAATCTTGCATGCTGGTGCATGAAAGTGACTCGATCAGTTGCATCTAGTCGGGCTCGATCAGTTGCATCTAGTTCTCCGGTAGTGCTTGACTTCCAACCGCCTATTAGATCAACCGCAAAGCGACGTCTATTTACTCGCTTCTTGGTACGGCTTTTCTTTGAGCCTAGAAAACACTCTTGAGGCTTCATTACCAGTTACATGTAAATAGTGTAAACAGGTGTCGCCACTTCGCCTGGGCAAACTGGGCTGGCGATGATCAATGCACGTTCGTGGCTGCAGCGAAGCCAGTGCTTTTACCCTTGATGAAGCCAGGGCCTACGTAAAGTTTATGAGGTGTCTGTAGCAGAAATCTTTTGGGACCAAGAGTCCGTCGAGGTTAGCAGCATAAGCAGTGCATTCCTTCTTCTTTCTCAGCCCTGGTTGTGTTTAGTCATTGCTGCAATTGCGGCCTCCCCGATCAACGGCTTGGTATGTCGATTTAGAGCAGCATCTGCTTCTGTTATTTTTAGCCCGTTCTTGCCCCTGAGTTACTTTACTCTCAAGACTTGTCTCAAATAGACGCTGATTGTTCCGACTCAAAGTGAAAGGTTGTGGGCCGATAGTGCTTTCTCGCGAACGGACGTGGTCAATCGAAAGGAGACCCAGGCAAAGGTCGGTCTCCTTTTACGGCCTGGCAAGATGGCAGAATCAAGAAACTCGTCCGCTTTCAAGCGGCAATCACGAGAGTTGTGCTGGGGTTAATCGCGGCCCTATCGCGAGTTTCGCAAACTGCTTTTTCAAACGACAACAGTCGCAAGTGCTCGTCCACTGATGTTTCCGATCTCAGTGGAGTGCATCAACGAGTAAAGTCGTCGAAGTGATGTGCGCTGTCAGAACGGCCTTCATTATCCATGAACGGAGCGTCCTCATCCGTACGTGTGCAACGCCACCTTCAAATGGGCGCCGAATAGAAACGGAACGTCATGGGTGCCTGTACGATTCCTTGTTGGCGAGATGACGGAAGAAATCAAGTTCTATCATTGTCCCTCTTCGGCAATGATAAACTTCGCGCGCGCTTGGCTGCATGAAAGCAGTCATCTTCGCTTTGTCTTGGGGACGAGCTAGCGGCTGTAATGAACCTACCTTCAAGTTGTACAGGATGTCCGAGTCGAGGTTGGAGCAAGTCTGCATTGACCTGGTACATGCTCCATTCAAGTGATCAGGGTGCAAGCGTAAACGTGGGTCTCCCGAAACTTGTTTTCAGGACCAGGTTTTCTTTCCATTCCCAAACTTTTGAAACTTTAAGTAGAGGAGAGACGTGGGTCGTGTTGGCGATGATTTCGGGATCTGGCTGGCGAAGCCATTTCTCTTTTCCTAGAGAGCAAGACGCCAAGCACCCGCCAGGGAAGGTGAAAACGGCAGAGCGCTTCCCTCAAAGTTCGGTGTTGTCTTGGCAGGCCCCATTTGGCAATCCGCCCACTGGTCGTTCATTGGATCATATGCAGAAGGTTCTGGCCCGCCTTGCTCGCCTCATGTCTCGTGGTGATCAATGGTCGCTTCGGTCGAGCCTTTTTATGTTCGAAATCTGTTTGCAGCTCCTAAAAGGTTTGTCTCGCAACCGGTAAGGGCTAAACTAGTGATCCAAAACACAGGCGTGAACCTGGGGATGCTACGCTTTCGTAACTTCTTAATTTGGCAATTTCTTGTACCAGTTTACGAACTCTGTTCTCGGCAAAGACGACCTCGATGCACGGCTGCAATGTTGCCATTTGCGGGTTGAAAGTA